AGTTTCCAACAGCCTCCAACCTGCTGTCCAAGGCGTTTCGAAGGATAATTTTGCTGATTTTTGCTGTTTTCGTTGTTTTTGGAGACTGATTTTGACATCCAAAGTGATCCAAAACACTGATTTTGCTATCCCAACGTCACCTTAGCTGATTTGGAAGGAAGAAAAGGCTTCCTACCTCCTCTCGGTAGAAGAAGAAAGCAAATCGAAGCAGAAGAAAGGTTCCTTTCAGCTAATGAAAGGAGAAAACAGCAACTAGAGCAGGAGAAATCCCTTCTTCACTTAATTTCAACTCAAAGAAATGCTGCAGGAAGAGAAAGGTTCGGCCGGCCTTGGAGAACCGGACCTGGAGGACTCGGCGGCCAAGGGAGACGGACATCTTGGGGACGTCGGAAGGTCTGGACGGGGTCGGACGCACAAAACCCACGGAACCCTTCCTCTTCCGCCTCCTTCCTCTCGCTCTCTTGCTCTCTCTGTCGGGACGGGACCGAACGAACAAGCAACGGGGGAGCCGAATGCTCCCCCTCTCCCGATCTCTCGCTCTTTCTCTTGCTGTCTGTCGGGGGCGGAAAACACAAGGGGAGCCGAATCCGCTCCCCTCTCTCCCTCTCGTTTCTCTTAGAGGCGCACAAAGCACCGCCCAAATGGGCCAATCCCCCTTCTCACACGTGGAATGAGAGGTTTTAGGGCAGATTTCAAGATGAAATCTGAGCCATTGATTTGGGAATTTGATTTGAAAATCAAATTCAGCCCAAATTGAGAAATTAGGGCTGAAATTGAGTCCGGATTGGGCTCGACCCGAATCGATTTGAGTCGATTTGGGTCCGATTTTGTTCGATTGAGTCAATTTTGCGAAATTGAACTCGGATCGACGCCGAAATGTGTCGAACTGCGTCGAATTGGGCTCGACGGCGTTTGAATTGATTTGATTTAATTTTAATTTAATTAAATTGATTTAATTTAATTAAATTGGAGTCTAATTTGAGTCGATTTTGTCTCGACGTCGATCGATCGAGTCGATCGAGCGCGATCGAGCCTAGTCGGGCTCGATCGGGGTCGAGTCGGTGCGAAAATATTCTTCAACAGCCTCTAAATAGAGTTGGGAGAAAGATGTCAAGTTGTCATGCAATAGGAAATTACTCGAACAATGTTAAGTAAATTAATACGGATATTGAGATTAAACCAAGCCAATTTTTCAAGAAAATCGAATTTACTTTCTCAACTCCCTGATATCCTCTAACAACAGCCTCTAAATAGAGTTGGGAGAAAGATGTCAAGTTGTCATGCAATAGGAAATTACTCGAACAATGTTAAGTAAATTAATACGGATATTGAGATTAAACCAAGCCAATTTTTCAAGAAAATCGAATTTACTTTCTCAACTCCCTGATATCCTCTAAACCACCTCAATGGTTGCCAGCTCCTTAAATTAAAGTCTGAATTAAAATTTATTGTATCCTCAAAAAAAAAAAAAGAAAAAAAAAAGACGATGTATTGAGTTCCTATGCTATTCTCATTACACTTAAAAATATCAAAAATTGATACTATTTTGTTCCAGAAAATATGACAAGTCAATTAATGCCTAAAGCAATAAGCAACCTACAAGGCCATGTTTGGTTGCTTCCAATTTTGTCTTCATGTCAAGTCATGTTCAATTTTTTGTTTTGCTTAAAGAATTCAATTTCATCAAAAACAACAACCAACAATTCATTAGTTTGTTTGAATGTCATTTCTTGCTGTTTACTAGGTAAATTGTTTTTGTATCATGTCAAATACGAGTTTGACTTAGTATTTTAGCTTAGACTTGTGCGAGGTTGGGATCATGCAAAGTGTAGGTTAAAATATTACAACCTGATTCTATTTAGTGCACATGGTTAAATAAATTTGAAACAAATCATTAATAGCCATTTTACTAAGAACATCACAAGCACATCATGGTAATCATATTCATTATTCATCAAGGAAACTAGGGATTTAGTGACAGTCATTATAATCATGTACATGATAACAGTTCCCTTTACTTGCTTGATTAATAGGATTCAAACCAAAAATTGGGGAGGCAAGGAAAGAACTTTGGCAAAAACCATGTTTAACATAGGATCAAATTAACCAAAATAATATAAGACATGATATAAAATTGTGACCGTAAAGTTTAATTCAATACCGCATACAAAAATCTCTGTATATACATGGATGCTCTTGCTGTTAAGAAAAAAATTGGCATAATTATTCTTACTCTTTGACCTCCTGCACTCCAGGAATAGCAATAGTGCTTGCTTTACACTTTTCCTTTAGTAACCTTTGCTTGGACCGAGTTTTAAGAATGTCTACAAGCAGAAATCAACAAATATATTGATAAATACATTTGACATATCCAAACTTTCTAAACTCGTCTTTCAGATTGACAATGCGGTTCCCTTGTTCCAAACTTAAAATTATTATAAAGGTTAATGACAGTATTGTCAAAGAGCAGTTCAAAGAGAAGAGCGTAAGGATATCTTAGCTTCATACAGTAAAGACTAAAGCTTAGCACTGCTTCAATTAAGTAAACCACATGTTAAAATTTACTAGGTAATAATCCATAAATGACAGCAAACCCAAAAAACTATTGAACAAGAAACAATAGATTTTTACTAGACCATACAATATCCTCCCGGATTAGTGGACTTAATCAATTCAATGATAACAAATAACAATTAATCATAACTTTACATTAACCACAACCTGCACAAAAGAGCCATAAAGGCAACTTAAATTTATCTTTTTTTATCAATGCTTTGTTCGAATCATCAAATTTTGTTCTTATATACGACCAAGCAACATTGGGAACCAACTGTAGATTTCACTAGAAACTGCAGGTTGAAAAAGTACTCTATCAAGCTTTTGAAATCTGACTACAGTGTATGATTCTTAAAGGAAACTTCACATATATGCCTTACTAGATCAAATAGAACTTCAGAAATTAAAAATTCAGTTAGTGAAGAGATTGATGATGCATTTCGAAATGACATAAAAGCGAGATTAAATTGTTGTATGAAAGATTCTATGCATCATCAAGTGCACGACTTTCTCAATAACTCAAAAGAAGTAAAAGAAAGAAATTTGGGTAAGGATATTTTGTATTACATTTATCTCAAAATAGTTTGTTTGTCTAGAATTTGATTGTGTCAATCAATCGAGTTGTACTGTTGCCACATACCTTAACTCAGTTTGACCCCTCCTGCTTGGATTTTTTTTTCCATGCAACGCCCCGACACTATGTACCCGAACGCCCCAGCGTTGTGTACCCGAGCGCCCCGACACTACATAGTTTGCTTGGAGAAAAGCAAAGAAAAGAGTTAGTTTAAATTCACTTGAGTTGAATCTGACTTAAGATTTGACACAACTACCAAATGGCAAGAAAGCACTGCAGATTATGATTTATTGATGATAACAAGCGCTACAAGGCAAAGCTAATAGTTAAAAATTTTCAGTAGAAGGAATGAGTCGACTTCACTGAAATTTTCTCTCCAGTGGTGAAGATGACAACAATCAAGGTTATACTTAGCATTGAAGTAGTGGAGGATATACATCTAGAGCTGATAGATGTAAAAATAATATTTCTTCATAGTGACCTTGAAGAAGAGTTGTATATGGTGCAACATCAAGGATATGTGATCACATGTAAAGAAAATATAATGTACAGACTCAAAAAAATATATATGGGCTGAAGCATGTACCGAGACAGTAGTATAGGAGATTTGATAGGTTTATATCAAACAATGGGTACATAAAGTGCTAGGCAGATCACTGTTATTTTTTAAAATATTTTGATAGCTGATATATTATTTTGCTTTTGTATGTGGATGATATATTGATTGTAGGGTTAGATGTAAAGAAGATAATATGTATAAAGGAGTAGTTATCAAAGGATTATGAAATGAAAATTTCGGGTCTAGCAAAGAAAATTCTCATTATGAGAATCAATAGGGATAAAAGTGCAAATATACTAAAGTTTTCATAAGATGAGTATGCTGAAAAGGTGTTGTAGAAATTCAACATGAGCACAATAGGTAGTCATTTTTAATTATCTAAGGAAAAATCACCTAAATTTGAAGCAAAGCAAGAGCAGATGGAGATGACTCCATGTGCTTCAGCAGTTGAAAGTTTGATGTATGTTATGATATGTATGAGACCCATAACATATGCAGTAGGAGTAGTCAGCAGATTTATGAGTAACCTAAAAAAGCTTTATTGGGAGGCAGTTAAGTGAATTCTCAGGTACTTAAGAGGATCATTTAACAATACTTTTTGCTTTGGAGGTAAATGGATTGATCTATAAGGGTATGTAGATTCTAATCTTGCTGAAGATCATGATAGTAGGAGTAGCACAATAGGTTATATCTTTACCTTGGGAAAAACTACAGTGAGTTGGGTTTCCAAGTTATAGAAGATTATTGCGCTCTCAACCACAAAAGTTGAGTATATTGCTATCACTAAGACTAGCACGGAGATGGTATGGTTGTAAAGTTTTTTGGTTGAACTAGGCAAGGGGTAAAAAAATGAAAGTTGCATAGTGACAGCATGAGTGATATTCCTCTAGCCAAGAATATTTCATTCCATGTCAACACGATGCACATCCAGCTTTAGTATCATTTCATCAAATTGTTTTAGGAAGATTGTCAGTTATCTTTGGAGAAGATACAGACAACCTAGAATCCTGCATACATGCTAACAAAGATGGTGACAATTGATAAATTGAATTGTGTAACTTAAGTTGGTCTTCATAAAGGATGAGAGCAGGGGTGAGGCACACTACATGTATTATGATTGGAGTTGCAAATCGGAAGAATGATGATCGCAATTAGTTCCAAGTGGGAGATTATTAGTCTGTGTGGAATCTGATTGTGTCAATCAATCGAGTTATACTGTTGTTATAGACTCAATTCAGTTTGTCAGGCTAGTTGGGGAGTCCTCCCGTTGCTTGGTTTTTTTTTCCATACAACGCCCCAGCGCCATGTACCTGAGCGCCCCGACACTACATAATTCACTTGGAGAAAAGACAGAGAGCAGAGTTGAGCATCACGACACTCCAAATTGGCACCGCAGCACTGCGAGGAAGGCTGGACAATTTTTCTTTCTTGTTTTTCTTAATCGTGGCGTTTCCTGGTAGTAAAAATTGTATATCCTTGTTTGTTCTTGTGTAAGAATGGTGTAAGAGAGAAGAGAAGCAAGAAGAGAGTGAGAGAGAAGAGATATCTATACAAATTTCTCCCAATTTTCATAGTAGACTTCTTGGTGTGGTGTAGCTCCGTGGTTTTTCCCGGTTTCAGGTTTTCCACGTTAAATCTTGGTGTTCCTTACTTTCCACTGTATTTCAAATTTCTTGTTTGTTTCGTTGCATGATTTACTTCCACCCCCAACAAAAATAAATCCAATAACTTTCAAATTCATCATGAGCAAATTTTAGTTAGGATACCTTGATCATAAACCTTTACATCTTCAAAGAGTAAGAAATTTAAAAAACTTCTTATGCAAGGGAAAAAAAGTAAGAATTAGCTGTTACCATATACATGGAGCATCCAAGTCTCAATCAATCCAAAAAAGGAAAATACTGCCACGAGACTAAATTCAGCTAACAACCATCAAACAAATTTGATACTATTGCTTGATACTGGTTATTTGTTACTATTGCTTGATACAAATGTGGTGTAGCTCCAGCTGGTATTCAAAGCAACACTGTATTTAGGCACGCTAGAATTTTGGAAGAAGACCTTTGATTTTGAGGGATAAGAGGTGGTGATTGAGTTGGTGCGGGAGAGGCATGCTATACTAGCCATGTCAAAAGCAGCCGACGAGAACGGACAAGGCGACACGGTGGCGACGACGTAGGTAGCGAGAGGCTGCGGAGACGAACAGCAAGAGGAGACAAGAGAGAGGGATCAAAGACTCCACTCTGGGTTCACTAGTGGAATGACAAGCGGCTCTGTAGCTTCGGTGGTGGAAAAAATAATCTGATTTGGGTGAAGAAGGTGAGGAGAGAGAGAACGGGAAACTTTTTAATTTAACGAAACTGCCATTTCAATTTGCACTACTTTAAAGAGGGTATTTTAGGAAAATCAAGTTATCCTCAGTATGTAAACATGATAAGAAGCAAGAAATATCAGAAGCAGAAGGCTAAAATGGCTATGGCGAGAGCCCTCCTCTCATCTCCGCATCTTCTTCTCTGTTCTCAAAGTAAGCTTTAATTATCACCTCTCGCTTAAAAACTGTTTTTTTTTTTTCTTCTTCTCTCATTTCTTTCATAAAAATTCTTGCTGTATAATTGCCCCTTATTAAGACCATGCCCTAGGATTATTCGCTCCTTTTGCACAATCTTAGAATTTGGTATTCCATAGGAAAGATGTTATATTCTCGAATTAAACGGATGAAAAGCTATTGTTTCTGTTTCAGGCAGAGAAGCCTTGGCATCTAAGCGGAATGGCCTTTGCCCATCAAGCAGATTGCTCGGCACTAGGAATTTTGTTTCCAGAGGTACTCACAGTCACGGAAGTTTTGCCCCCATTGCTTCTATGGTATATATGAAAGCAGCAATTTTTATTTTTATTTTACTGATAATTATTTTTGGAGGGATGCAATTTTTTTATTTCTTATCTGAAATGGAAGTGCTAGTAACACTTTGGTTGCTTTTCTGCTGCAAAATATAGTTTCCATTTTTTTTTATTTATAAAGCGTGGGTGCAAAATCTAAGGAGTTAGGATTGCAATTATTATCATTCAAATAATTGTGAAATATGAGTGGAGCAACATGACATCGCCATTAATTGAGTGAATCTTTATAAAGTTTTTTATATGTTTTGCACGTCGATGTCCCTTGAAACATGAAGTAGCCATTAAATGTGTTTTTATCACTTGTTTCATATTCATAAACCCAATCTATAATCATGAGAGCATCCATATTATAAGCCGTGGGAGTTGAGAGCATCCATATTATAAGCCATGGGAGTTGGTATGAACCATCACTATCATTGCTAAAGGCCCTTTACGTTGCTGAACATTACAAAAAGAGATGAATGAGAGGGAAAAAGAGTGAAAATTGAGAGAGTTGGAGAGAGATGTATAAAATTAAAGTGAATAGAAAAGAAATAAAAAAAGGGAGAGAAATTCAAATAAAAAAGCTGAATAAAAAAAGAAAAAAAAAATATTAGAAGGATGTTGAAAGAGGTGTAGCTTCATTAAGTGGACTAAATATAGAGCCAGATGTAAGTTTCAAAATTTTGATCCCCTTCCTGTAAGCAGCCTGCACAAAGTACAAAGCATTGCAGTACAAGCACAAAATCAAAACTAAAGAGAAGGGTACCTGAGCCTAAGAAGTAACTGTAGAAATTCTGAAGCAGCCAAAATCCCACTAACTGGTGAATCTACAAAGCACGGACAAATTTTTAATGATACAAGCAATTATATGATAGAAATATTATAGTCATGTATGATTGCAGAAATGATGAGTGTTGAGTACATACAAAAATGCTAAAGGCTAAAGTGACAGTGGTATCAAAAGAAGAATAGAAAATGACGGTGCTGCCTACTATCGTCGATCTACAAAGTAACACCCTACAGATCTGAGTATGGGGTACTTTATCACTATCCCATGGATCTCTACTTTATCAAGAGCAAATATATCAACCATACTGAATATCACAAGTGCATCTAAAGATCCATGAAGGCAAAAATGGACTCTTAAAGATCTTAGTGTAATATCCAAGAAAGCTTTCGGAGATCCACTAAATGAAGACTCCAGCGTGACATCTAAGTAAGCTTTTGGAGATCCATCAAATAAAAAACCTTAGTGTGACATCTAGAACGAATATCTAAAGATCCACAGGGTCAATCAACTTACAACAAAGGTGATTCTCTCTAGACGCGTTCCACATTTGTTGGGGGGGGGATTTGTTAACCTCAATATCACAGTCAGAAGACAAAAAAAAAGGCTTAAAGCGTACCTAAAATCCAGCCGAATTCGTGCAGAAATCCCGCAAATCACTGTAGCACGGCGCCGTTCATGTCTCCTCGCTAAATTCCTGCGTACGCTTCCTCGATCGCCTCTCTCCAACGTCTATAAAAGCCAACCAATCGAGCTCTCCCAGGGCACTTCTTCCATTCGCTCTCCACGCACAAGCTCCGACCTCTCTGCCTCTCTCGAACTTCACCAAGCCGAAGCCAGGCATCCACCTTCCCTGAGCCCGTCGGCCCCTTCTCCTCACCCGTCCGATCCACTCGATCCACAGAGAGAGAGAGAGAGAGAGAGAGAGAGATACCTTCTCCCCCATACCTACTCCGACCGGAATTAATTATTTTAATTATATTTAATTACCTCGTAATAATCACTAATTATAATTATTCGAAATTAATTATAATTAATTATAACTAATTATTATTAATTATAATTAGTTATAATTAAAAAGGAATTAATTATAATTAATAAAAAAGTAAGCAATATGATACTTCTCTCCCTCGATCCTCGTGCCAACATCTACAACCCCGCGAAGGTACGGATTTTCTAAACTTAGATTCTCGCTCTCGAAGTTAGCGGCGGACCGGAAAACCGCCCATACACGCCTTTATTGCGCGTGGTGGGATGGGACCCCGGTGTGGTGTTTACAACGAGGCGAGTAATCACCTTAAACTCGAGAACCTGTTTTCGTTGTTTGCGGCGGACCGGAAAACCGCCTCTACACGTCTTTATTGCGCCTGGTGGGATGGGACCCTAGTCCGACGCCTACGATGAGGCGGGCAATCACCTAAACCCTACTTCAATGTTTGTGGCGGACCGGACAACTGTCCATACACGCCTTTATTGCACGTGGTGGGATGGGACCCCGATGCGGCACCTACAGCGAGTCGGGATCATTCATAAGTACCCCCGAGCGGGGGGAAAGCAATTAGTGTCTTTTAAACAAGTACCGTCAAAGACCCCATACACGCCTTTATTGTGCGTGGTGGGAAGAAAAATCACGGCCGTGGTGTTCTCGTCCGAGGACACCTACCATACACACATTTATTGCGCATGGTGGGAAAGACCCAGTTTTCTTGTAGTTTTCCCCTAAACGGGGGAGACGTTGGGAGGCTGCCAAAATTTCGGGTGAAAACGAGATCGTACCTGGACTCATTTGAACTCAAAAGACATTAATAAAAGGCTTAATTCAAACTCAAATTGAAAAGAACAAGAACTTGAGTTTGCAAGTGGCACGTTATAACTACAAAGGCTTGGACTCAAATCAGAAAAAAAAATAACAGAGGACTTGAGTTGGACTCAAACTGAACAGCACTTGAACTTGAACTTCAATTGAATTTGAACCAGGACTGGGACAAGTTGACAACGAATGTATGGACTTGATTTGAACACTCATGCAAATTTTGAACTCAAAGAAACTACAATATACTCAAACTTGACAGTGGATCATATTTGATTTGAACTGAGCTCAAACCTGAATTTGACATGAACCACATTGGACTTGACATTGAACATTCAAACTCAAATGAACTAAGTATTGTGGACATAAACTCAATTTAAATTTGTACTTGAATTTGAATGAAGTCTGAACTCAAGAAGACCACAAGGGACCCAGGCATGGGCTTGGCTCGAATTAGATGATGAAGATTTGCAGGCTCGCATACTAAACTAAGCTTGAACTTATGACTACAATGGATTGAACTCATAACAACAAAGGACTTTCAACTTACACATAAGCAATGTGTGATCTAATTAGTGAATCCACAAGTTCATACGAAGTAGTTGGAAATCATTAGCAAAAAAAGTCCCCAATGAATGATACAATCTATCCATGATGATTATACCGATCCACATGTCAAATAACAATAATGATAATATTGTCATTCATGTTATAAACCTTCAAGCCATATGATGGGCATAGAGATTTGCTAGTTCTTATTCACGATAAATGCAACATGTTTGCAAACATCGAAGGGAAACAACTTGGTTACAATAATACCTTGGTGTGTCCATGAATATAACACTAAGGTTCATACACAATTGATGTCATTCAAGTGTAAGCAAATACACTTTGCTCAATGGTAAGAGTGATATGATTACAAGACACAAACTCCTACAGGTCACAATGTAAGACTTGTTACACAATGAGCAAGATGTTGTTTGAGAGCAATCATAAAAGAAATACAACAAATGAAAACTCCTTCAAGTTGCTGTAGAAGACCCTTCTCATACACATTCAACATGTTGTCTGTGGGCAAATATAAAAGAACCATGGTAGATATCAACATCTACTAGTCGAAGCAGGAGATTCGTTAGTGCATATCAATCCGCCTGCTAAAAAATAACAAATAATGCACGACAGTCTACCTGTATAAGGCAGCAAATAACTCAATTCAGAAGCTGCTATAACACGCCACCGGATCCGCAACTTCTATGCAAACAGACAGAAGGCGTTCACAAATATTTCAAAATACCCCTGCACGCGCACCGTAGTTTGTATACACGTAGGTACACTAAAAGGGGTAAAAATAATCAAGAACCTATAGGCCTCGGCGAGCGTGTTATTGGTACACACGTGACGTCTAGGGATGCTGCGCGGGTTACTAAATTTGAACCTGATCCTCCTAAGCCGGTAAAAAGGAGTAGACATGGTTCAATTATAAAATACCCTCAAACACCCGCATGGGCCCCGACGAGCGTGTTATTGGTACACACATGACGTCTAGGGATGCTGCGCGGGTCAATAAGTGAATTCAAGTTCGAACCCGATCCTCCTATACAGATCAATAGGAGTCGATAAGGTTCAAACCAACAAACAAATATGTGGCTGTGACGACCAGAATATTTGTTTCAATACATTCATATTAGGCCTTCAAATCCTATAACAATATGAATTCACTAATAAATGCACAAAGCCTACGAAACTCGATCCCCTATCGGCAAGTCGATAGGGTCGACAAGGTTCAAGACATAAATATTTTCAAACTACCCATAACACCCCGATGATGGCCGTGTTGAATGAATATCTCAACCGGAGGGGTCCATTCAAAATATTTTCAAATGCTATCCCAAATCCTATCAAAATCCAAAGCTCCACAAAGTCCAAAATCCAAAAATCCCAGAAAACTCATAAAAATCTCAAAATCCCAAAAATATTTAAAAATGGAAATCTAACCATCCATACTTAAAGCAAAATCCATCCACCCTCCGCAATAGTTTGCCGGGGTGGATAAATTAAAATTTACTTCAGCTCATAAAAGAGCTAAATGCCTAGTCGAAAATATCCTTAGGATCCATTCTCAAACAATCTCTTGCCAGCAAGGACGTGGTACGTGTCCTCTAACCGGCGATCTGCCGCCAAATGGCACCGCAGGATAAACAGTTATGATCCGGGGCCCTCTGAACCGAGTGGTTTTGCCGCCAAATGGCTCCACGAAATATCGGTTATGGCCAGAGCCAATACGTTCCTTATGGCATCAAATTCTTGAGATATGAATCAATAGGATATGATTGATAGGGCACGAAGCCCTCTGTTAGCTAAGGTGGATTCAAATTTGTCCCCTTAGGCAAACACTCATCCTAGGTCTACAAGGTCCCCTTGGATGAAGCAACCCATGGCTGCCGACAAGGATCCTTCTGTCAGGTTGGGTCGACTACCTCCTCTGACTAAGTAGACCAGGGACCATGATGGTCCGGGACGACAGAACCATGGGATCTTGATCGGGTCTATCGTCAATTCCCCCACCATCCTCTTTAAGTGTAAGATGGTGAAATTTTCTATTTTAAATATCAAACTTTCCAAACCTTTCTTAATGCCCAAATTCCAACCCAATTACCAAATCCTAATTTATTGCTGCTACTATACGCCAGATAACACGTATCTCTACGTATCTGATTGACGACTAGCCTTAATCGAAAGTTCTCTCTCGTGATCGGGAGGGGTAATTAACTATAGGGGAGGCCTATAGGAAACCAGAACTCAGATCATTAAGTCCTCACCAAATGAGGGCGAAATCTCTGGGTAGTGTCTTATCTACAAACTCATCTGCCTTCCAAAATTTACCCCGGAACTTAATCCGTTAAAACTCCCCTCGCCTAAACAAAAGCACAAACAATCAGCGCGGCGGGGAGGCCGGAGCTGAATTTTCGAAGCCCACATCATGCTTCTCAGACAATGACACTGATGAGGTCATCGACAGACATTTTAGGCAGGTTTATCGGCGAAGGAATCGTAGATCGACGGCTACGATCGGGAGCTTATATTTTTGATGTTATCATGTTATTTTATTTCTTGTATCTTTTATTCTCATGTACTAGTGACGATTTCACCCTTATGTAGGCGTAGTGTTTATTGTAGCCCAAGGGGCATATGAGTCTTTTTCTTTTCATGCTTTGAGACCTTTATAAAGGGGTCTCTTCTTGTTGTATGAGGTTAATGATTGATTAATGAAAATTTCTGAATTTCTTCTTTTTCTTCTTGCTTGAGAGCTTAAGAGAAAGAGAGGAGGCCTTGGAGAGGCTCCGCCCGAAGTACCCAACAGCCCACTACGGTGAGCTCTTGGTTCTACCTTGTTTTATTCACTGTTTTCCCTTCCTCCCCATCCCATTCCACTCCCCGAACCACCCTTCAACCCTCTCCGATTTTCCCTGCAGGCGACCCTCACAAATCCCCCCCTGAACCCGCCGAATTACCCTGGCCGTCTCCCCCATACCGCCGGCTAGACCAGCCGCCGTCCCTGCTCAGCCGCCACCCATCCCCTCCCACGCCCAGCAACCCGACCTCCCTCCTCCTTGGCTACTCCCGCCGGCTTCCCTGCATGGAGAAATTTGAATTCCGCCATTAACACTCCATTAATTCCTTCCTAATTTGGCTCCTTGAATTAATGAGCAATTGATTAAGGAGTAATTACATGGATTCAAATTCAAATTTTTTCCTCTTTCTCTTATTTGTAACTCCCCCAATTAATGGAAATCTGAATTAAAAATCTCAGATTTTAATTAACTAATTGGGGCCCACTATTTATGAAAATTTTCCATTGATCTCCCTTTGCATGGCCGGCCCCAACACCTCTCATATTCTCTCTCTATTTGCCACATAAGCAACCATTAATCCCTCTCTTAATTCTCCCATAATAACCGCCCATCCTAATTCAAATTTTGGGAAGTTTCATAGCAATTAATCTCCCTCCAACCCAAGGCAAAAATCTGAAATTCAAATTCAGATTTTTCTTCTCTTGTTCTTCCCTCGCTCTTGGTTTGTGATGATAATGTTTTGAATAATCTTCATTTTAATTTCTAATTGCAATTCCTACTTTGATTCACATCAGACACGCTTCTCATTGTGCCTATATATATTTTTTATGCTACTGCATGTTTAAATTTTATTATCACATTTTGATGCGTGTGAGATCTTAAAACAATATATGCATTTTATCGCTTTCATGGGCGTTTGTTGTTAAAATTCTCATAAAGCTTCATTGGAAGGCTTAAAGTATACTTTTTTTCCGTATGCATGTGTTGCAAATCCAGTGGGAAGAAAGGCGAGTACAAATACTTTCATTCTTTTTCAAATTATCAAAATTTCATTTTCTTTTAATTGTAATTTAGCTTGGTGGTCCCCATATTATGAGTGTAGTAGTTAACAACAATTATTAGACTAGTCGTGATACCCCCACATTATCAAAAAAGAAAGTCAATTTTTGAGGAAATCTTTCTAGGAAAGTAACAATTGAAAAAATTGATGATTTTAAAAGTCTAGAATTTCAGGGGAATTGATAGAAAAATATTAGAAACCTAGTCTTGATACCAAATTGTTACATGATATGCAATGTAGTTGCAAAAATAATTAAAAATAGAAATAAATGCAATAAAAGATGACAAACAATAAATTCTGAAGTTGTTAAATTGTTGATGTTGAATCCTCGTTAATTTATAATCCAAGATTGATGCCAAAATCCCATAAATTAGGTACAATTTATAGAATAACTTAAGCATGATTAAGGATAAACAATTCTTGTCCTTCTTGTTATTCAAAATAATTTTAATTTTTTATTTAAATTATTGAAAATTCAGCCAAAAATTAGTAACAAGTCTAGAAAGATTTGAAAAAATGTCCGGCTGACCTCTTTTGTCGAGTGATTTGACTCAGTGAGTTCTAGCCTATGAGAAATTCAGTGTGTATAAAATAATTTGTTAGTGATACTATATCAGATATGATAATGTTAACATGAGATATTGATCAAGTTTCTCATTATTTTCCTTGCCATCTCTTCCAAGCATACAAGCGACAATTTTTTCAAACAAAAACAAATCATAGTTCAAATCATTAAAAAAGTCATCACTATGTAAAACTGGTGTAGGACCATGCCATATGGGAATCCTCAAACATGGAATATGAATTCGTCAAATGAAGGCAAAATCTCTAAGCAGTGATTTATCTTCTGCTTAATCTGCATCTTCTAAATAAGATTTTTTATTTGGCACGAACTAGGATATTTCAGATCCCATGTTTTCTTTTCAGATTTACAGGTGGTGTACTTATTATCTTACTCCTTGGATCTATACCGCATGAAACTATAAAATCTCTTTATTCAGTTTATTCAAATGTGTGCTATATATCACAAATCTTGTTGATATTCTATAGTTGCCTTTTAAATGCATGTTTAATGTGGTTACTTCAGGTTAAACTACTACATAACAACATGCATTAGAAAATATGGGTTTTGGGAATTAAATGTTTTGCCAGCATTCTAACATGTCATTGTACTATAGTAGATTTCTGCCATTTTTTAATTTCTTTGCGATACAAGATATTTCTTGTGTATGCAATGTATTTTTTCTTTTTTGCTTGGCAGCTTGAAAGAAAGGCTGAGAAAAGAAAGACTGTCATCCCTGATCCAGATTTTCGAATTCCCATTGTCTTACTTGGTGAGTTTTAATGAATTTTCTTCCTTTTAATTTCCTCATGATTATTACTTTTCCACATGACTCAGCCTCTTAAAAATTTGTGTATAATCTTTTGTCTGGTTAATACAGTTCATTTTATTTCCAAAGAAATGCCTCAAGGGTAATATAAGGTTCTCATGCTTTAGGTTAGAAATTGCCACTTAGCAGGTCATGTTACTATTTTGATTTTGATATTCCTTACAAATTCTCTCCTAGAGAAACAATTTCTACTTAGCGTGTCATGTTATTATTTTGATCTTAACATACCTAACAAAGTCAATGATCTTACGGAAATTCCAAATATGCATTTTTTTTTCTCAACATCAATAATTCTTGAGGTGCAGGCTTAGCAGGTGGGTTTGTGTACCAAGACAAGCTGCTTCCAGCTGCTATAACAGGCTTACTTGGATTACTTCTGCTACTCCAGGTATAACATTATGGAGGATGTTTAACCCTTCATTATCAGTTTGTATCATCTATCCTCTCTCAGAGTTTTTTACTTATGGAAACTTGAATTAAAATTCGTAACTGGAAATGAATTTGAATGGATTATTGTATGCTAATTAGGGTATGAAAGAGTCGAGTCGAGTCAAGTAGTGCCCTTATCGATCTGAGCTCTTTTACCTCACATTGAACTCGAATCGAGCTCGTTTAATGAGCTCGAACTGAACTCGCTGTATAAAATTCAAGCTCGAGCTCGGCTCAATTGCTCGATTCAACTCGTTTTTGTCTGAAACGCCGACAATAGGAGGGGAAGAAGAAAATGACGGCGTTGCTGTTGATGCCACGAGGCGGGAAGAAGCTGTGGTCCGTGGAAGATGCTAAGCGGGAAGAAGAAGAGTTAATTAACTAATATGTGCAACTTTTTGTCTTTTCCAAAAATAGCTGCAACTTTTTTTTTTTTAAACATAACATTAATATTTTATATACATTTTTACGGAAGCTGCTGTAACTTATATTTATTATGCTGCAGCTTAATGATTAATCTTTTTAAATATTCAAATTTAATAAAAATAATAAATATTTAAAAAATCCAATAATCATTCAACTCTGTTCGCGAGCTCATAAGTCAAACCTCATCAAGTTCGTTTAACAAATGAGCTTGAGCTTAATATGCTCGGCTTGCAAGCTCAGTCAAATTCGAGCCAGTCAGCTCACTTGCACCCTTAATGCTGATTATTTTCTCTACTTCTATCATTCCGATACAAGCCTAAAATGCCTATTTACACTGTCATCTCTTTGGAAGAATTTGTTGCTGTATTGAGCCTTATTTGGAAGTTCATGCTCTCTGACATCAATAAAATGTGAGCTCTTTTTTTTTCAATGAAATAGTAGCTCTTACGGTATTTACCTGTTTTGTGAAAGGTTGTATTATCCTAGATTATCGACTAATTACTTCGTCTATTATATTTACTTTTCTTTACAGCTTGGTCAATATCATGAATAACATTGTTTTAAAAATATTAATCATTTTCCCTTACATTTGATTGTCTTGTTAACTTTTCCTCTTCACTCTTGACACCCTCACCAATCTCTTTTAATATCTTCTTCCTAGTTGACTAACCTAAACTGACTGTCATTGTGCATTTTACAGGCAACCAGAGTGAGATTTGTCTTTGATGAGGAGGCCCTGGTTTGTTGCTTCCCTCTTTGAAAATATTTAACTTATATTGTAAGGGGATAGATATGAGTTTATGGAAGATGAAGGAAAGTAATTCATTTGAATAGAGAAATTTGAAACTTGGAAATGTATCCTAGAACTGTAAAATTAAGGAGTTTATTTAAAAGAAAGTAATCTACTTTACTTTTTATTTTAGGTTTAGGATTTAGGGAAAGTAGTTATTAAACATGACTTGATTGCTGAAAGTCCATCTAATGTTGTGTCCAGTTCTCCTTGTTCAGCCTGTAAACATGGATGGAACATCTGAATAGATTGTTATTTTGACCTTTATAAGCTTTTGCTGTGCAACTCTTATTACAACAGTATTTCTCTAGTGATTTCCAGAAACTTTAACGAATACGCCAGTTAAGAATAACACAAGAAAAACTGAACATGGTGTAGCGCAAACTTGATTTTTATTTCTTTTTTCAGCATCGCAGTCTTCATCAAACTTACTAAAACCATTTTGTTTGGTTTAAGAATCGTTCTTCTCCATCCAGACTTGTTCAATTATGCATTTGATGCATTTTCTGAATCAATGTCGACTAATATTTCTTTCTGCTGTTCTAAATATTTATTAGTTGCTTAGTTTAGGAAGTAAGAATTGGAGAACAACTTCAAGAGTCAGGTGAAAATGTGTTTGTTGGCGGGAAGAACCGTTGGAAGTGAGATTCTACCACCTTCCCAAATTTTCTTTGAGAAACTCTGTTAAATATGCATTATAAAAATTTACCACAGGTATTCAACATTTGTGAACTGGGAGCTTTGGTGGCCTAATTTTCCTATTTTAGTGTACTTCAAGGAGACGCAGACAAAACCAGAAGGACAGATTCACTTCTTTCCAGTAATATTTGTGGGTATCTTGAACCTCTCTTTCGTTTTGTTATCCTTCACTTTCTAATTTTAATGTTATTTCCTTTCTGCAGAATGGAAAACAGTTATATAATGTTATGCTGGAGCGAGCTGGACCATCGAAGACTAGTTTGCCCAAATAGTTCTAATTGAAAGCACAGACAATATGCACTGGAGCTCAGCCAATTTTTGTTTGTCTTGCTGAATTTTAAGTACAGCCTGGCCTTTTATTATCCGAACTGGTCAGATGATCCTCTGATGAATTTTAATTTTAAAATATTAGCAATTTCTCTATTGAATTCTGATATGTCCTGCTGCAGAAAAAGCTCAATAATGGTGATTATAATCTTTCTGATTGCCTTCAGTTCATTATTTCTTTCATTCATATAGAATTATGTATAATTACGATCCAGATGTATTGTGGAATGAACGGTTTTATTATTTGATTTAATTTTATTTGACAGGTGTGAACTGTGTTATCATTTGGATAAGTGCATGAAATGAAGTTGATTATGAGCAGGCAAGAATAGTAGCTTATGATCTGAGAAACTGTTGGCAATAATGGAAAGAGGAAAGTTTTGTGAAGTGTTTCAATAGCTCAAATGCTTCTTTAGATAGTGTCAAAATATCTAAAATATTTCACTTCATTCTTTATTCATAGGAGTTTGAGGACTACAAAAAAATGCTATATCAGAAAATGAGTAAAAATTAAAATGTTAAATGCCTCCTAGTACGGATTGCCTTGGACACATGTCAGGCCCCGAGAACCTATTGATAAGAATGGTGATGTTGACACATATCCTTTATAATATCAATTGCTACGTTACTTGGTTCATCTACAATGACTTGAAGTGAAGCTGGTAAGAATTGTGTGGTTATTTCTGTAATTATAATTCCCATGAATTTAAGTTTAGTAGACAAATTTATAATAATAGTGAAATGTAGTATGTGATAACATGATTTATATGTATTGAAACTTAACACTGATAATGGTATGAATCTAATAAGATAGAACATAATATTTGGTATATGTATATAAAATTGGGAAGCTAAAATGTTAATATGTAACACCATAAGGTGTGGTGAAATGATATAATGATTGATATCAAATATATATATGATAATCAAACATGATATCCTCAAGATATATGTGATTTATTAATTGTGAGTCATAAGGAGCTAAAGAGCAATAAGGAGTCATAAGGAGCTAAGGTGATTGATTCACTAATTTGGAGTCATAATGAGCTAGAGATTGATCAGGAGTCATAAGCTCGACGGGATAGGAGGTATACGAAAATTTGAATTGTCTTTTTATTTAAATTATTATAAATAGTGAATATATTATAATAATAATTCCTCCATTATTATTATTATTATTATTATTATTATTATTATTATTATTATTTTGAACAATTAAAATTTTGGAATAACGATTCCACTTCAATTTGCATGCATTTTCATATTTTGTTCGTAATCACCTTCAAATTCTCATTGATTTGCACGTTTGGTTTTCATTGTTGAGATAGTTTCTATGCATGTTTGATATTCTTGCAGCTCGTATGTTTTTTATGATTTCAATTATTATTGATTTGATTATTATTTCTCCTAACATATTTTGAAAGAATTATTTTTGCTCTTGTGTATACTAACATTTCAGGAAAATTATACTCCGGATTGTTGAAAACTTCAAATCAAGAACAATTTAGAGTTTATTGTAATCAAAGTCTATATTTTTCATTTTATTGAGTCTGAGAGTGTGTGATTGTGATTGTAATTGAGTAACTGAGCATACACACATCGGGGGAGAGTTTTAAAATTCATATTTTAAACTGATCGTACTGTACAATATCACTTCATACGGGACGATCTAGTTAGTTATTTTCCCCCAATGAACATATTAGAGAAAAAAGTTTTCTAAGTATGGATCGTACGGACTATATTTAATTTCGTCCTAGAACGAATGTCTCTGTTCTGACTTCGGATGAAGATCGTATGGATGATATTTAAATTTCGTCCTAGGACGAACGTCTCTATTCTAACTTCGTACGAAGATCGTACAGACAATATTTAATTTCGTCCCAGGACGAACGTCTCTGTTCTATCCTCAGACGAAGATCGTACGGACGATATTTAATTTTGTACAGGGACGAACGCCTCTGTTTCGTTTCTCGTTCATTTCGTCCTGATATTTCATACAAACGAACTTTGAAATTTTTCTATTCGTACCGGACGAACTTATTTCGTACAGGACGATGATCGGGTATGAAATGATTTAGTCTATTCACAATGAGTTCGTACGCAATAGTATTTGAACTGTTCGTACGTACGAATATACAATCGTGTACGCTCAAAATTGAAAACTTCAGTTTTCTGGACAATTTTTCGTGTTTTTTTTTTATAAAAGGTCCACTAAAATTGACTTTTAAAAATCTTGTCTTCGTGATTTTTCAATGGCAATTAAAGGGGAGAGTGTTTGAGATATATTTCTTCCTAGTGGAGTGTGAAGGGTTCACAAGGTTACTCAAAGGTAAGGATCTCTGCATGTGGTTTGTATTTTTCACTCTTCCTCTTGTCTTTCTAGATTGCTCATGAGAAGATATTCATATAAGATTTGGTTCTCTACCGACACTTGGAGAGTGTGAATAGACGAAGGTTCTCTGCTTATACTTGGAGGGTGTGAAAGGACGATGGTTCTCTGCCGACACTTGGAGAGTGTGAACAGCCGAAGGTACACTGCCTACACTTGGAGGGTGTGAAAGGACGAGAGGTTCTCTGCCTACACTTGGAGAGTGTGAAAGGATAACGGTTCTCTGCCGCACTGGGGTTTGGTGGAAGAGAGTTTTGTAAAGGCTTCTCTGCCTTGCTATGGGGGCTAATGGAGAGTCACTTTGTTAATGTGTAATACCTGAAGTGGGAGGCTTCAGGGAGTGGATGTAGGTCGTATTTGACCGAACCACTATAAATCTTTGTGTCATTTTATTTTGCCGTTGTTTATTTACTTACTGCAAGTTTTATTTTTTAGTGGTTGAAAAAGTTTTTAAAACCTTAATTAACTTGCTACAAATCATTAACTGGTTTCAAACTTTTAAATCCAAGAAGTAACTTTTAAAAGTACCAATTCACCCCCCTATTGGTTAGCCTTGGGATATTAGCTTAGGTTTAATAACCTAATCGAGATTCAATAAGAATCAACATTCATTAGGCAAAATTTTAGTCAATTTTGGATATTATCGATGTTCTGAGCGCGAAGGCATAGTCCATTTCATGATTGAACGTCATTTGGACAACATCGTGCGTTAATTTCCTCGATTCGTGTGTCATTGCCTCAAGACCCTCGTCGATCTCCTCGTGCGACTTCAATTGAACAAATTAACAGTCATTTTTTTGGTATTGATGATGCTCCGAACACAATGACAAAAGTATGTTTCACGATTGGATGTCATTTGAGCAACATGGCGCGTCAATTTTGGGTGTTAGTCTCCCCTTTTGACCAATCTTATTCGATTTGCCTGCAAGAGGTTCCCTCTTAAGCAAATTTGATGCTTTGACTGCAATGGCTAGGTTGATTTGACAATTGAAGGTCGTTTAACCCTTCAAGTGGCGCATCATACTAACACATTGATTAACGTGTTTTGATGTGTAGGGGTCAATAAAGTGATTGAGTGTTGTTCATGATTTTAGTGTTGATTGATTGTTTGTTTGAACTTTAGGTTGATTAATTGTTGATGATTGAATGATTGTTTTGAGATAATTAAATGGTTGATTGGAGATGATTAAAGTGTTGATTGAAAACTGGATGAGTGACAACTGGGTAATTATCAACCATCAGATTGACAATCAAGAGTTTGGATAAATTAGGTTGATGACCTCATACAAAAATGAGGTCAAGATTTAGAAAGTGGAAAAAGATCCAAAATATTCATCTTCGCGTTTTATTTATAGGAATATCAGGGCTATAGAAAAAACTACATAAAAAAGAGTTAAAAGTATAATAATAAATAACGCATGGTACAAATTGTCATGTGCATGTATCATGCTTTAGCTGACTTGGTGAATTGTTGAATCTTTTATTTTAATTCCTTTGTTTTGGGGTAATTTCCCTTGTGTTAAGTGCCTACAGGCGGCTAGACATGAGAGAATCTACTATGAGGGCCAAGGTGAGAAGATTGTGGCTAATGAGTCCTCTAAAGTCATTAGCGACTTTTTGATGGAGTCCCTGAATTGCTTCGACATTGGAGGCAAGTCCATTCAAGTAGCAAGCATAGTGGACTTCATGATCGACTGAGTGTGGTGATGTGAGCTTGAAATATTCTTAGTAATGCCCTTCCCTCTAATTTGGATGAGTGATTGTCATTGATGGTTCTCCACCCTAGGTGGCAGTTGAGTAGCTTCATATAGTTACTATCAATAACTTAAATTACGACTCTACTTGAATTATATTTTATCTAGAGTTGATTGACCAACTCATTTGTCTCAATTCAATTTAAATATGAGTTAATTTTAATTTGACGTTTGATTGAATGTTGACTTCAATGCTCCTAATTTGTATTGGGCGGCGCTTTTATCCATGCCAATTTAGTTAAACCCTTCAAAGTTCATCATGAATTTGCATTAGCCCGAGTTTAGGATGAATTTTAGTTAAAATATAATATGTTTCTTCAAGTAAAACTAATATAGAATAATAGAAATTCTCTCGATTGAAGGAGTTGGAATAATTTATTTAAATTTTTTTTTTTTGGAATATTTGGGGAATTTCTTTAAAATTACTTTTACATTGATTTTTTTAAACTCACTCCTTAGCTCATCCTACCGAACCGGGTGACCTAAAGCCGACCTGACGGGATTGGACACCCGGTTCAGCTGAAGCACTTCGGTATAAATATTGAAACCGCCTGCGCGGGTGGCGAGCTCAGCTAACGCGTCTCCCTCTCAAAATCATCAATTCCAACCCCAATCCCCTGCCTCCTTCCACGGTTCCGCCGCCTCTTCCTCTCCACCTCTCGATATCCGATCACATTCGACTGTGCCCAAGAAGACAATAAAACTCACGGAGAGGCAAAGAATCACAATATGGCAATGCGAGGCGACGGCTCGACGGCCGTTGTCATGGACACGAAGACAATCTGGATACCCAACCAGGATCTTCCGCTGCCGCCGCCACCACCACCGCCGCCGCATAAGCCATGGATCGCGTGGCTCGTCCCCTCTGTCGCCATAGTCAACATTGTTTTCTTCGCCTACACTATGTACGCCAACGACTGCCCCGCCCGTCACCCTCCCGGCGACGTCTGCATCCTGTTCCGCTACTTCGGCCGCTTCTCGTTCGAGCCTCTTTCCATCAACCCTCTCATTGGCCCTGACCTTCGAACGTAAGTTTCCATCATCGAATTAATCGTGATATTCTTGTCATGTTTTGGTTCAGGTGGACGCCTTCTTGCACTGTGTTGTAGGGGAAGTGGGATGAGAGAGAGAATTGCGTATTTGATATTTTTTGCTAATGGGTTTTTTCCCTTTCAATTTGCGTATCCTTTATGCAGACTTGATACGTTGGGGGCTCTTGATTACAAGAAAATTGTAAGCGGAGAACCTTGGCGCCTCATCAGCTGCATATGGTTGCATGCTGGAATTATCCACTTGCTTGTTAACATGCTCAGCCTTTTGTTCATAGGAATTCGTCTAGAACAAGAATTTGGTTTTGGTGAGTGATCTAACTGAATTGAAATGATTTTGTTTTTCTTTTTTCTTTTGAAATTTTTATTAAGTGGCCGGCCACAGTTTTTTTTTTTTAACAAAAATAAAATTTATTCAATAAAGAATGAGGGATACAACAACGATCGACGAACAACCCGAAGTACAAACAGTAAGAACAAAAATAACCAGACAAAGAAAGAGAAGCAGCAAATAGGGACTCAGGAATGGAGGCCCCCCCACATCAACTTCGCAGTCAAACACGGACCATCAATAGGTGACAGAAGAACGAACATAGTTCAGATTCCACCAAGCAACAAAATGAGGCACCCAGGTTGCCAACCAGCCCAGCCAGCCAAGGAAGCAGGGGGCCTCCTCATCATCGCCAAGCCACAATCTAAAACCATCGACGAAATAACAAAAACCAAAGACCACACCCTATTTCTTCTTGCCTTTGCTTTTAAGCTTCTTTCCACCCACATTAGAAAAGCCATGCTTAATAGAGCATTATATAATTTCCTCCTCAAACTTCTAAAAACTCGTTTCCCCCCGTCAGAAATAGGGGAGTCCTCCAAAATCAACTAATCAGTTTAAAGCAAAACAGAGTCTTTCCCAGTCTTAGCCATATTGACTTTCATTTCAACATTAAACATAACAGATATAGGGATTTCAACAAAATTGACATTGCTCTCAACACCATCAATAGGAGTTAAAACCGATTGGTCATGGACCTACATATGCGATGTCAGATTAATAGAAGAAGAGACAACATCCGAGCTCTCGATAACCATCGGAGACAATTCCACACAACCAACCAAAGTTCGACTTGGAGAAACAAGTGAACCAGAAAGTCCAGCGTCCACAAAATGCAATTCACCCACATCCAAACCGCATGGGGTAGGCATAGAATCCACACACGATAAAACAATTTTAGAATTCAAACCACATTTTAAAACACCAGGCTCACTCGAACTTAACCGCGGAACCTGGGCTACAGGAGCCACTCCCTCCAAAACCATAACAGAGTCCATCTGAACGAAATTAGAATGAGAATTAGCAAACTAACCCCTCACAAACCACATCATTCTCATCGCTATTCACTGCAGGGTCTAGTTCTAATGGGGCTAGAGCATTCACGGAATCCCCAACTACTGGGATCGTCACAACAGGGGGAGGGGGGAAGGGGGAATTAAAGCAGAATTATCAAAAACCTTAATAGGAATCCTGTTAGAGTTCGACAGATCAGCCATTTGAGGATGTCAATTCCCTACCGCATGGCCAATACTTTTGCAAGAAACACAAAAAGAGGGGAACTCATCCATAACCACTTGTTGGACATAGCCAAACTTCTCAGAGCCTAACCACACCTTATCGGGGTAAGATTTGGTGATATCCAGCTCCACTAAAACACGAGCTAGAGACGGTCTGGATCCAATAGACATAGCATAATCAATTTTCAAAGGTTTGCCAAAGAGAGCGGCCAAAGCGTGAAGAATTCAGGGGGAAAAGAGGTGAGGTCACAGTTGCTAAAAGGATATCCAAATAGGGATCACCGACGACTCCACACCGACATCGATAAGGGACGACCACTTAGTAAGCTTTATATAACAATTAAAAACCAAATACGATTTATGACAGAAGACCCTGCAGTAATCAAGGTCGTTTGCGAGCTTAATAAGAATGTGCGACGAATCCAACAGGGTAACCGAAAACTCACCATTCAACTTGAGATTGAAAAAAAATCTACGGATGGTATCCAGAGAGGGCCGTTTAGAAGGAAAAAAACCCAACTAACGAGAACTGAAAAGGCTTAGCTAAAGCATCAATTTCTTGGTTCGAGATCCAGAGGGAAGGCAAGCCATGGAAGGAGGAAGCCCTAAGTTCAGGAAAATCAATGACAGAAGAGGAGCCCGCAAGAACATCCAAAAAAGAACAAGAAGAAGAACCCCCTAAAAAACCAGGGTCGCAAAGTTTCGGCGCCATCCGGCACACGCCGGAAGCGAAAAGAAAAAAACCAGTAAACCAAAATCAAAACTAGAAAAGAAAGGAGACTTCCCTAAAAAATGCAGAGAAGATCGGCGCCACCGAGGCGAGCAGCCCAGCAGTGCAGAATGCACCGGAGAAAGCGTGCGAAACGACAGAGAGCGAGAGGATTTCAAATTGCTGATGTTTTATTTGTTTTTTAGGGTAGAAGTGATTGACAGAAACCAAATTAACCGGCCACAGTCTATGATTTGCAATACAGAGGTATTTGTTTTGACTTAGGATCCATTTGAAGCATTTTTTTTTCACAGTTTTGCTTTTCAAAAAACTGCTACAATATGTTGTCTAACTTTATTTAAAAGATATATATATATATATATATAATTCTCACAACAACTTCAAAAAATTTTGCTCTTCTCAAAGCATATCTACGAATATTTTAACTGACACCTAGTCACCTACAACAGCCCCAAACAGATACTTTGTCCGTTCATATATCATTTTCTATTTGATATCAATAGTTCATAGAGCAAATTTTGTCAGACACATCACAACTAACAATGGTATGCATCTGTGTGGAATTTGCTTTTATAAATTCTTGCATTCAGAAATCGATCCATTTTTAAATTGGTTTAATATCAATTGCCTATGCTGTGCATTTTTTAATCACTAACTAATATCCAACTCTTTATATTTTGTATATACAGAAATAATAAATTCATTCAAAATTCAGATATTTCATCTAAAATAAGGTATTCAATATAAAAATGTAGCTTCACCCAAGTAACTTATTTTTTGGTGAAATGCTTTATTTTTTTGTATGTGGAAGATTTACAGGTCATTTGTTTGCAAGTATTAGAGATGTGAAGTGTTAAAATTTAAAGACTGTTGAACACCCAATTGACTCAGAATCTTTTTTAAACTAGAGTTACTAAAGCTTTCATTTGAGGGTTTTATAAGAAACCGATATTTCAAGTTTTCTAAAATGAACCCACAAGCCACCTAAATGAAGGATTTAGAGATTTCAAATTTGATTTGCCTGCAAAGACAACAAAACACCAAGCAAGTAAAATCAAAATTTAGGTAATTAAAGAATTATATTAATTATTTAATTACAAGTATTAAAATCAGTTAATTCCCATTACTTAATCAATTAATTAGAAACGTTTATCGACTAAACTTTGCACAATAATATGGCTAATATGTTATTGCTTTTAACTAATAACTTATTGTGTTTCTTGAGTAAATCCTGTAGTGGGTTGTATCATTGTCGATTTCAAATTGATAAACAATATCATAATATTCACTTGCAAAATATACTAATTGAATGAAATTGTAAGTTAAACCAAAATGATACAACCCACTACAGGATTTACTCAAGAAACACAAAAGAGGCCACCAAAGATAAAGAACACAAGCATATATGTGATTTGGCATGGGGTGCCTACATCTACGGGGAGAAAGAGGGCTAATACATTTTTATTAACTTGTACAAATAATATAAATCCCTAACATGCTTTAGATCTAGGTTTATCTTTAAAAAGAAATATAAATTTCTTAAAGAAATAAGAATGAAGAGATATCATTTGATCAAGCCAAAACCAAGAACATATTGCCTCTTTGCTTCACCTTCCTTCTACCTCAACTCCTCCTTCAAGAATCAGCTGAATCGACAATGTCCTAGTTTGTCGACTTCTTGTAGGACGCTTCAAATGGAATAATGAGAGCCAAGATGATTAACTATCTCACTTCCAAGCTGGATGCCCGTTCCTTCTCCAAGCTTTGCCGGAAATTGCAAGGAAGAGCAAAGAAGGTTTCACGTCTATACTCGCACCCGCCTCTCCCTCTAACTGCTCTCAATTCGCTCCCAGTCGCGCCTTCTTCGGTTTGATCGCTTGTTTGTTTGCTCGCTCGATCTCCCAACCAAAGACCCGACCTGTTAAATAAAGGAAAGAAAAACCAAATACAAGAAAGAAGCTACACCAAAGGCTACATACAGGGCTACACAAGTAAGAAGCAATGTTAGCAATAAAAACAAGTATTTAAAATAATTTAGTGTAAATTAATAAACAAATTAACAACTAATATTTGATTCAGTAATTAATTAACAATTTAATTAATAATCTCCACCTTGAACCAAATATTGCATAAGTCAAACCACCTCTTTCTCCCAAAGCTTTCTTAACCAGGAGGCCTACCTACCTAAAGTAGAGCGAGGCAATGCTGGAATTTGGTTCCAGACACTACCTTGGTGAGCATGTCGGTTGGATTCTTGTCTGTGTGAACTTTCTAAACTTCTATAATGCCTTAAACTAGAACATCCCTGATAAATGCAATAAGATATCAATATGCTTTGTTTTTTTATGAAATACCTTATTCTTCATCAATTGAATAACACTCTGATTATCACACAAGATAGCTGATTTTATTTCAGTGTTTTGAAGCTCTTCAAAAAACCCTTTCAACAAGATGGCTTTCTATATTGCTTCTGTAGAAGCTATATATTCTGCCTCTGATGTTGATAAAGCCAAAATTGACTGAAGATTGAATTTCCAACTAACTGTGTTTTTGTAGACTTGAAAAGCATACTCTGTCAAAGATTTACACTTGTCCAGATCAACTGCATAATCTTAATCCACAAATTTTAAAATCTATTCTCTGCCCCAATTTTTCTTTCTGTAAGTCAACACAACACCATCTGATCCTCTGAGATATCTGAATATCCACTTAACATCCCTCAAGTCCTTTTTCCCTGATTAGCCAAAAATCTACAAATCATACTCATATCATAAGAAATATTTGGCCTGGTGCAAACTAAAGAATTAATACATCAAACTGTCAGCTGCACTCGCATACTAAACTAAACCCATATACGTCTAATCTTCCTCTATTGTTGGTGACTGCGATATAGGAAGCCTGAACTGAGAACCCATTGGTGATGAAACTGATTTGGCTATTTCCATTCCAAATTTCTTTAGAACTTTCCAGATATAGATTTTTTTAGACAAATCTAGTAAGCCTTTATTTCTTTCCCTTGTTATATCTATCCCAATTATATGTCTGCTCTGACCTCAATCCTTCATCTCAAATTGACTGTTTAGTAACTGTTTTAACTTATTTATTTCTGAAACAGTCACTAGCTATAAGTATATCGTTGACATACAAAAGCAAATATATTGCACTGTTCTCTAAAAATCTTTTGTAGTAAACACACAAATCAAACGAGCTTCTTTTGTAAGAATTTTAAATCATAAATGAATCAAATTTCTTATACCACTGTTGCGGAGACTAGCTGCATTAATCCATTTAAAATATTCTTGAGGCCAACTTTATTTTTCTGACCAGCTTTGATAAATCCCTCTGGTTGGTTGATGTAAATAACTTCCTCAAGATCTCTACGCGAAAAATTATTTTAACGTCCATTTGTTCAAGCTCAAGATCATATCTGACAACCAATGACAAAATCACTCTGGTTAAAGTATGCTTGACAACTGGTGATAAAATCTCATTGAAATTTATTCCTTTTTTTTAGTGAACCCCTTTGCCACTAAACTTACCTTCCCAACATCTGGAACACTATCTTTTCTTTTGAAAATCTACTTGCAGCCCACGATCTGTTCATTTTGTGGTTTATTCACAAGTTTCCAAGTACAGTTTTATTTTAGTGATTCCATTTCTTCATTCATCGCTTGAGTCCATAAACCCTTTTGATCACTACTCATTGCTTCCTTATACGATATAAGCTCATCATCTAGTAACTTTTCAGCAGCTGTAAGAGTATATACAGTTAAATCAGCATAACCTAAACGATATGGTGCTCTTATGTTCCTTCTTGTTTAATCTCTAGTTAGACTATAATTTTCCAAACTGTTTTGATCTTGCAAAGTTCTCTTCCTGATGATTCTGACCATTGATATTTGCTGGCATCAGCTCCACCTACAACTGATCTGCATCACTGTTCTATACAATATCAGTGCTCTCTGTGGTTTCCTAATCCCTTTCAGTAATCTAATCAATCATTATTTCCTGCTCATTAAGATGACATCTCTGCTAATGATACACTTGGATTCATTTGAAAGCCAATATTTGTAGCTAAACAAAGAGATAGGAGTAGCAAGTATTTAGTTCAAATGAAGTGTATTAAGGATGAAGATCAAAAAGTGTTTTTATTAGAAGAGGATATTCAATAAAGATGGATGAGATATTTTGCTTAACTTTTCAATGAAGATTATGAGAATATGATTGACTTTATTGACCTTAGCACCCTAAATGAAAATAAAGATTTTTGTTGTTATCGCCTTATCGGTGTATTAGTAAAACCGAAGTTAATAAGTCTTCAAATAAAATGAAGTGTGGAAAAGCTGTTGGACCGAATGATACTCCATTATATTCCATTAGAGGTGTGGAAATGCTTAGGAGATGAAGGAATTTCTTGACTTACTAAACTTTTTAATATTATTTTGAAGACTAAAAATATGTTAGATGAGTGGAGAATGAGTGTGTTGATTCATATTTTTAAGAATAAAGGTGATGCATAATATTATGCGAATTATAGAGAAATTAAGTTATTGATCATACTTTAAAACTATGGGAGAGAGTTATGAAGCATAGGTTGCAGTGTGATATGCAAGAGCTGTTACTTGTGTTCAAACATAAGGCGGTTTGACCAAGCATTTTCCTATTTCAATTGGATTACATCAAGGATCAACCTTAAGCCCATATCTTTTGCTTTAGTCATGGATGTTCTCACTAGACATTTGTAAGAGGTTGTACCCTGATGTATGCTTTTTGTTGATGATATTCTTCTTGTTGATAAGACAAGAGAGGGAGCTGAAGGTAAACTTGAATTATGGAGGTCAACCTTAGAGTCTAAAGGCTTTCATTTGAGTATATCTAAAACTAAATATATGGAGTGTAATTTTAGTAATAATAGATCTAGTGGAGGGATTGTGACTTTGGGTGATCAAGTTATTAATAAGAGTACACGTTTTAGATGTCTTGGGTCTATTGTTTAGAGTGATGGTGAAATAGATGGTGATATTATTAGTAGAATTCAAGTTGGATGGTTGAAGTGGAGGAATGCATCAGGTTTGTTGTGTGATAGAAATGTCCCTCTCAAACTTAAGGTAAAATTCTATAAGATGGTAGTGTGACCTGCAATGCTTTGTGGTGCAGAATGTTGTCCATTAAAAGAGAAGCATAATATAAAGTTAAGTGTTGCATAGATGAGGATATTTAGGTGGATGAGTGGCTTTACTCTTAGAGACAATATATAAAATGAGTATATACGTGAAAAGGTTAGAGTAGCTCCAGTGTAAGATAAGATTAGAGAGAGTCGCCTTAGATGATTTGGTCACATAAAACGGTGGCCTTCCGATGACACGGTTAGAAAAGTAGATGTATTAGATTTTACTTATATTAAGAAAGGTAGAGGTAGACCATAAAAGGCTTGGTTAGAAAATATTAGAAATGACATTTCTTTATTATATTTAGATTAGAATTTGACTCTTAACATGACACAATGGAGAAAGAAAATTCATGTAGCCAACCCCACTTAGTGAGATAAAAGCTTGTTGTTGTTGAAGTAAATGAATTGTATGATTTTTTATTTTTAAGTTTGAGATAAAGTAAAGATGATGCAACTTAATTTTTAAGGAACATTACTTATACAATATTTCACCATGATGTTTCATAAAATTGATGCCTTAGTATTATTTATCTAGTTTACCATTACTTTTACAATGCATCGCAACAAATTTATGAAGTTGTCTAATATGAAGTAAAATTGATCCCTTAGTAACAGTTATCTTGTTTAACATTATTTTTACAATATTTCACACTATTGACACTTTAAAATTGAAAATATTCTTACTTTCATATAAGAATAATCCACTTACTTCCTTAATCATAATCCATGTAACTCTCTCTCTCTCTCACAAATTTTTTGCCATCCACTATGATTGACTACATCTTGATTGATATTTTTTGTTGTCTTTGTTATGTTTTCACTTGAAAGTGAAAGTTGGAACTTTGTATATCATATCCGGCATTGGTGGGAGTTTGATGTCTTCTCTATCTATTCAAAGTAAAATCTCAGTTGGAGCATCAGGTGCGCTTTTTGGATTGTTAGGAGCTATGCTTTCCGAGCTCATAATAAATTGGACGTTATATGCTAACAAGGTGATTTGTAAATACCTTCTAGGCATCTCACTTACCAGTAAAAATGTCAGACCTTGCTAATATATATGGCCTTACTTCAGTGTGCAGCCCTTTTGACCCTGTTAGTCGTGATTGCTCTTAACATGGCTGTTGGAATGGTACCACATGTAGATAGTTCTGCACATATTGGAGGATTTATATCTGGTTTTCTTCTTGGATTTGTTCTTCTCATACGTCCTCAATTTGGATGGGTCAACCAGAAGCATTTTCCTCCTGGATATGATATAAACACTAATAAACAAAAGCACAAAGTATATCAATATGTTTTGTGGATTCTAGCTTTTGTCATGCTGGTCATTTGGTAAATCTCTAACCATTGTCTCTTTTAAATTTATCTTCTTGTTAAAATGCTCTATCATGCATTTTAAACATTAATGCTTGCATCTCTAGCTATGGCCTGTTAGAATAAATCTGTAACAGGGACTTTTTTATTTGTCTATAATTGGATGAGTTTTTTTGTTCGGACAATTTTACAGCAGACGAGATAAAACTGCCTAAGCTGTGTTTTTGGAAATTTATTTTCAGTGGCTACTAATAATTTCATTGATTAAAACATAATTAGCAGATCATCTAGTTTGTTCAATGACTCGCATTGACCATGTTGGGCGAGTTACCATAGATTCATAGGCGAAGTTTTTGCATCTCGGTGATGGTGCCATGCAGGATCAAGTTGCATAGAAACTTTATGGAGAGGGAAAGGTACATAAATTTGGTCATACAAAGCTCTGCATTATCAGGATACCCTTGCTCTGGGTTATGGCCGTTGACTTCTAGTTTATCTTCTAAATAAATACTAATTAAAAAAAAAAAAAACGAGACTCCTTGGTTGCAGAAATGAACTCAATTTTTCAAAACTTATATCTTGGAACTATATCAAATTGCTAATGCCCTATTGCTAGATTAGACCACGTCTGTATGCTGCCATTGCACCTTGTACTTATTCCAATCCACTTTGGGTATTATCTCCGTTCTATTATTTTATATTGAATGCTGCCTATTTGGCTTCCTGGAAGTCCGCACTCCCTCTTATTTACTTGCATTATATATTTTCTATCATCTTACTTTGGAATCCAAAACAAATTCTTTTTTGTTAAGGGCATACCCTACTTTTAGTGCTGAATTTGATAGACGCATAACCTTATTATTTTCTTTGGTAAGTATAAATTTATAGCTAGTCCATGAAACTAGAATTAGAATAAAAACTTCGAATATAGGTTATCTTCTCGTACATGCAAATTAATAGAATTAATATATATTATAATTCATAGGAATATAAATATTCCATGCTTTCAGAAAAATTAAATGGGTTAGAGAGAAGCGTAATGAGATTAATAATTTAGGATTTAAACTATAGTATTTAAGGAGTCATAATAGTATATATGTGATTATTGATAAAAATTTGAAGAATAATATTATAAAAATTAATAGAATTGAAGATAAAATTATAGCTTTTAAAATTACTATTGATGTTAAGATTATTAATATTATAAGTACTTATGCTTCTCAAGTATGTTTGAAAATGTGTTCAATATTAAAATTTTAGAATGACTTAAAAAAATTTATACAAAAGATACCTATTGAAGAAATAATTTTTATTAAGGAGATTTAAATGGACATGTTAGTAGAGAGGTAGAAGATTTTAAAAGCATTCATGTAAGTTATGGATTTGGAGCGACTAATAAAGATGATAGGATCATATTAGATTTTTCTCGATCTTATAATTGTTAATATTTTATTTAAGAAAAGAGTGAAGTATCTCATCACTTTTAAGAATGGATACAGTCAAACTTAGATTAATTATTTTTTTATAAGAAAAATAAATCTTTTATATTATAAAAATTATAAAATTATTCCAAGTGAAAGTTTATGTTCCCAACATCGCTTTTCAGTTTTGGGCTTTAGGATGAAAGAGCATAATATGAAAAATAAAATAAAATATTATCCTAGGATTATATGGCACACATAAGCTATGAGTAGGGGTGCAAACGAGTCAAGCCGGCTCGGGCTCGACTCGGTAACAGGCTCGACAAGCCGAGTTTATCGAGCTCGCGAGTCGAGCTCGAACACGAGTTCGAGCTTGACAGCTTATCTAGCTCGAGCTCGAACAGGCTGCTGCTCGACTCGTTAGCTCGTCGAGCAGCTCAACGGCTGAACTTGCAAGAGGGAAATGCAAACACGAAGCGGGAAATCGAAGTCTCGAGCGGGAAATCAAAGTTGCGATTGGGAAAAAAAAAGGATGAATCTCAACGACGTGACGATGACGAGTTGACGACGGGGCGAGCTCGACGACGATCTCGATAGAGGGAAATTTCGAGCTCGACGGCAGACGGTGGGACGAGATCGACGACGGTCACAAAAGCAGAAAATTTTGAGCTTGACGATGATCTCGACGGCAGACGACTGGACGATCTCGACGACGAGCTGTTAATGTAGATCCGGCCATATGCTAACGGAATGGAGGTGGGGCTCATCCTTGAGGCGATGAATTGTGTCATCATTGAGATCTTTGAGATATACAGCTGCATTTGTAGAGGCATCGCCGGATTCCTCGTCGATGTGCTCGGCTCTGATGTTTCCGATTCCTCTACCTCGCACACCGCCGCCGCATCGTCAAAGGAGAAGATGGCCGTGCCTTCCGAGGAGCGGAAGCGACTGGGTATGGCAGGGATGAGGGTGCTCCGTAGAGATGCAGAGCAGAGCGTGCAACTCTCCTCATATTTCAGCCTCTGTCGTAGCCTCGGCGTGCTGAACGCCGCCGAGATCCCTCCAGTGGAGTCTATACCTGAGGAAGACATTCGCGATCTCGAGGCCTTGCGGGACTGTGATCCGTCTTGGAGATGAATGGCTCGATAGCCGGCGGCCAGGGTCCCGACGCGAGCATGACGATGATCTCAACGGTAGAAGCGACGACGACGACGAGCCTCGGGAGGACGGACGCTACAACCAGCGATGGATCTCGATCTCGAAATCGGAGCTCGACAGCAAAGCTCGACGAGCCGCTCGACAAGAAGACGAGTCGAGCTCGAGCTTGGATTTTGAGCTCGAGCTCGAGCTTGGTCTTTGAAAGTCAAGCTCGACTCGAACACGCCCTGACTCGAGCTCGACTCGACTCATTTGCACCCCTAGGTATGAGACATGAAATACTGGGTGCAATGTCGATGAAGGTGGTAATCCCAGTCAATAGGCCACTGCTTCAGTGCGCTTTAAAATCTCATAAGGCTCAAAATATCATGGAGACAATTTCTCATTCCTCCTCTTGGCTAGTGTCTTCTGCTAGTAGGATCTCAGCTTAAACTAAACCATATCTCTTGGCTAGAAGTGTACTTCTCTCTTATACTCATCAGTCTTTCTCTTCATGATCTGTTGGGCCCTTAACAGATGTCTCTTGGGCTCTACTAATATCCTATCCATCTCCTTTAAATATTGATCTACACAACATAATGGCATAGTGATATGCCCATAATATATCAAATGACATGGATCTCTCCCATATAGAATCTTGAAATGGGTGGTCTGTGTTACTGAATGATACACATTTTTTTTTTGAATGGTACAAAATGTTGTACCAATACTAGGCCCAAACATTCCACTTTGCCCAAATCTTTGAGGTATCTCATACAAAGCATCACAAATAGGTCTCCATGCTACTGTGGACCACCTCCATCATCTGTTTAGGGATCCTCTTCATGATTGCACCTTGTAAACAGAACAACTTCTTCCAGAATGACCGAGGAACACATTGTCTCTATCTGACATAATGGATTTTAGAAATCCATGTAAGCGCACCACCCGTATGAAAGCAATAGCCACAAACACTACGGTGTAAGGGTGCTTCAGAGGGATGCAGTGTGCATACTTGCTCAGATGATCCAATACTACCAGTATCACAGAAATCCCTTCGAATGCGATAACCCCTCGATGAAGTCCATCATCATCTCCCACACCCTCTCCGGTAAAGCTAGAGGTTATAGCAATCCTCTTGGTGTCATGGCCAAGTACTTATGTTGCTATCACACATCATATCTTACTACCTAGTCCTCTACATCTTAGTGCATCCCCACCACAATATACTCCACAGACAGTTGACTATAGATTTTCTGAACTCCTAAATGTCCTCCAACTGCGTTGCCATGAAACTCCTGCAATAGCTTGGGAATGTACCTCAATGTCCTCGGTAAGATGAATCGCCCTTGATGTAGCAGCTGGGGCTCCCTTAGCATGTAACTGGGATGACTGTTTGGGTCCTACAATAACTCGACTCTGATCTTCCTTAGACCCTCATCTTGTTGTCTCTTCTGTCTCAGGGCTTCCCAATCTAGGACCATAGGTATTGATAGAGCTGTCAACTGTAGTTCATTCGTTTTCCTCGATAGTTCATCCGCGGCCTTGTTCTCCAGTCTTGCAGTACTTGATCTCAAAATCATATCTAAGTAACTTGGATAACCACCTTTGATGCTTCTCAGTCAACATCTTCGCTCCAGTAGAAACTTCAAACTCCTCTAGTCTGTCATGATGATAAAGTGTCGCCCCAATAAATAGGGTCGCCACTTTTGGATGGCTAATATAATGTCATCAACTCCCGCTTATATACGGACTTTAATCTTTCCTTGGTTATGAGAACCTGGCTGAAAATAAGCAATGGGTCGATGATCCTGCATAAGTAATGCCCCTAGTTGGTATCCTGATGCATTCGTCTCCACCACAAGTGGTATGTTGAAGTCAGGAAGTGTTAATACTGGCATGTCGGTCATGGCTTTCTCTCAACTGCTTGAAGGCCTGTGTTGTTTCTTCCCACCGATTGAAACTATTCTTCTTTAGTTTCTTAGTCAGTGACCATACTATGTGCCATACCCTCGCATAAACTTTCGGCAGTACCCGGTAAGACCTAAGAACCCTCTAAACTCCTTCAGATTCTTAGGTAAAAGCCAATCTCACATAGCCTCATTCTTGGATCAGTCTGCTGCTACCCCTGCTATGCTCACCACATATCCTAGGTACTCTACCCATGGTTGTGTAAATGAACATTTTTCAGGTTGGCATATAGTGATGCTCCCTCAAAGTCTCCAGTATAGTGCTTAGGTGACCCACATGCTCTGCTTTCGTATGACTGTAGATTAGGATGTCGTCAAAAAATACCAAAATAAACTTTTTGAGGCATGGTTGAAAAATCTAATTCATGAGGGACCAAAAAGTGTTTGGAGCATTGGTAAGGCCGAAAGACATCACCAGAATTTGATAGTGACCCTTATGAACCCTGAAATTTCTCTTATATACATCCCCAGACTTCATTTGGATCTAGTAGTACCCCGACTATAGGTTAATCTTCGAAAAGATTACTGTCCCAAACAGTTCATCCAGTAGCTCATCAATTATGAGGATGAGAAACTTTTACAACATATTTTTCTTATTTAGGATCCTATAGTCCAAGCAAAATCTCCAATTGTCATCTTTCTTTTTCACCAATAAAATTGGGTTGGAAAAGGGGTTCACATTAGCTTACTAATCCCTGCCTTAAGCATCTATCTGATGAGCCTCTCTATCTCATCCTTCTGAATTTATGGGTACCAGTACAGTCGAAAACTAAAAGGAGAAGCTTCCTTTTTCAAGGTAATGGCATGCTCATACTCTCTGGGTGGCGGTAATCAGCTAGACTGTTGAAAAACCTCCGGAAACTACTGCAGAAGCTGATGTACACACTCAGAGACCTCGATCGGCTCCTAATCTCAGACCTCCTCCAGGCTCTGCAGCTCCAACAAGTAGCCCAGACTTGCTCCCTATATCGCCTTGACTATGGGTTTGAGTGAAACTATAGTTGTTCTGCACAAGCTGTCGTCTTCTCACAACACCACCCTCTTTCCCTCTATCTGAATCTCCATATTCAAATATTTCTACTCCACCTTCGCTTCCCCAATCTTCTGTAACCACTTCATCTCTAGGATCGCATTAATGCTCCTCAAATCCAAAAGAAGAAAATCCTCCACTATATGTAGGCCCTATAGCGTCAGCTCAAACCCCTGCAAATCCCCCTACTATTCTCCACCTTCCTTGCCCTCATCATGACTCCAAAGTTTCTTGTATCCATCAAGTTCAATGCCAACTGATCCACGACTCGAATTGAAGATGAAGTTATGAGTAGCCCCGCTATCCATCAAGACTACTATTGGCTACTCGATTTGAGATGAAGTTGTGAGTAGCCCCGTGTGAGACCTCGTTCCCTTACTGTTCCTCTTTGACTTGGATTTTCCTCCCAGGATCGTCCGGGACGATATTGAGATCGTCCAGGCCGATCTGTACTGTTCAAAATATCGTCCTGAAAATAGTTCTGGGAACCAGTGCCAGTGAACGATTCGAATTTTGGTCTAGATCGTCCCGGGACGATATTGGCGATGCAGGCCGGGCCGATCAAGCTGCCAATGATCATATAAGAAATCAGCTCGTTTTGAAAGGAGAGAGAAAATCATTTTTCATAAAATCAGATATTTCATGAGGAGAGAGAAAGAGAGGAAAAAGAGTAAAAGGGAAAAGCTTGGTTTTTGGATGCCATGCAGGAGCCCGCTTGTTCGTTGTTCATGGTACCAGATTTCGCTTATACGAGCTAGTTGGGAAAGTGTAGATCTCGTGGGTAAAGTGACTCCGAATCCTATTTCTGGTTTTTCTAGAGATAATTGTTGTTTTGACCGAGTTGTGCATTGTTTTCGTGTTATTCGTAGTCGAATTTTTGATGATATTTGTGATTATGAACCACTACTTACGTTATCTATCCACACCGCACAACTTTGGTATGTTATATGATATGATATTGTACACGATATTTGAGTATTTCCTCAACGGATTCTACCTTACGGTCCGTGAAATTTAGATTCTATTCGCCCTGTTTTTATTGAATAGATGAAATATTTCAATACTGTATCTTTGATTTGGATTCTATAAGACACTATCATAGTCTTTGTAATGAATGTCGTGCGATTTCTATACTGTAATTTGGAGAAATGTTGGAATTAGTTGCTTATTGCAAGGATTTTGATGTGTACAATTTTGATAGACTAGGCCGTTACTGTTTGACTGTCTGGCCCGATTTTCCCGTATGATTTTCGCGAAGAATTATTACTGAATTGATAGATTGATGAGTTGACTGACTATTGATATGTCATTGTACTATTATTGCTTTAATATTGCTTATTGATTGATTATGGATTGTATGTAATTGAATTGATTCTTGAATTGACTATTGATATTGGAAACAAGTGGAACCGATGGTTGAACGTTAGTCTTGGAGATTGACTTGACTGTTACAGGAGGTGGGTATATCTTGGAGTGGTAATTATCTTCGTTCATGTGGCCATGATTTCCTTTAAACATCGACTTAATGGATTTCTAAACAGCACTTATTGATGGAGTCATAAGGAGTTTATAGATATGGCCGACGGCGCCGACGGGCAATCAAGTGACACTCTTTTATTTGAAACCATTTCAAAACTTTATAATAGTTGGAGGTCCGCTCTAAAACATAGAGATTCTACAACAGCAAATGGATTATACAACAGCAACATAGCCAGTTTTGATTTTACTTGTTCAATATTATCGTATTGAATACCTTTTACTGTATTGACATACGGATTTATTGTTTTATCGATTTCTGCTTTATTGATTTGATCGGATTTATGGATTTACTGTATCGTACGGATTCTTGATTTCATTGATTGATCATTGAGCATTGATATATTGATTATGTGATTATTGATATGTATGGAACAATGGATGGCATAAGATTTTATTGATATTGTATGAGACCTTATTTGACTATTTATTGATTTTGCATTGTATTGACTCGACTTGCTACAGATTGATTTATCGTATTGCTTTTCCGATTGATTTTTATCGTCTCGATTTATGGTATGGATTATGGACTATCGATATGGATTATTGGATTCATAGATATGGGTTGTATTGATCATAGATACCCCGGCACCGATATTGATATGGATTTCTGCGTATTGATTCATAGATATTGACACTGATTTGATATAGAATTGTATCGATATTGATAGATACCGACATCGACATTGATATGGATTATGATATTGACATATGGATACTAATTGATTACGACAGATCCTGATATGCTATTGATACATTGATTCGTCGTACTGATTATCGATTGATTGATTGAATGGATTGGTTGCCGTATGGATTTGATTTTTCGTAGAATAGATTTCTTTATGGAGCTGATTGTATTTGATTTCTATTGACCTGATGATTTCATTGTATAGATTTGTTTTCAATTGCTAGGTTTTGATTTAATAGTTGATTCGATTGTTCGATTGGATTTCCCTGCTGATAGATATAATTGATCTGGAAAAGTGTTCTATTTGATTGAGATGATTTTCCCTATTGTAGATCGTACGTCGCATTACATTGAATCTGTTTCGTAGTGGTCATTGAATATTCTATATTGATATCGAGTAAATCGTATTGAATAATTGGATTTGACTGATTTGGCAAGAAGTACGTTCTACATGAGTCCCTTTTATTGAAGTTAATTGATACTATTGATTGATTAATTGATACAGACATTCTATTGATTGACAAGATGATAAGATTCACGAATTACTAGACGGACACGATTGATTGAACTGATAGTAATTGATTGATAGACCCTGGCTTACGATGTGATAGATATGACTGAAGCACTTACTGATTTGATTGGCTGAGACGTATTGATTTTATCGATGTTTTTACTGTTGTATTGATTTATCGATGTTTTTATCGCTGTATTGATTATTGATTATTGATTTCCCGTACTGCAATTGACTACTGATTTGGATTTTTCCGCTTGTGCAGACTTGGTTTCCTTGACTATGGATTTCCGCATTGCATAGATTCATTGATTCATGATTTGACTTGATTTGATTGACCTGCATATTGATAGCATTGTCGTGCTTTGATTTCAGTTGTAGGCTTTGGTGACCTGCTGGGCTTTGTAAGCTCATTATATGTGGTTAAAATTTTCAGGTCCGAGCAAGGCAACTGGAATGAAGTTCGATCAGAATGTCAGACGAATCCTTTCACTATTGATATCTGGGGCATCACACCCCGCTATCCATCGAGACTACTATTAGCCACTCCCAAATATGTCCCCTCACCTTCATGGTGTGATTTGGAGTGAATCCCACCACCGAGTTAAGAGACATTTTTGCCACATCAAGGTATAGGTGCTCTCCTCCCGCTACTGCTTCCTCCATAAACTCGTAGCTATTGGTCTCCTCCTCATCACAAATTGTAAGGACTTGGAGTGTGTGGCCCTTGCACCGATGGCCTAGTACATACTTCTCATCACATCAGAAGCACAAACCCTTCGCTATCTTATTCTGCATCTCTATCTCTATGAGGCGCTTGAAGTTGTCTTCGGGCGAACTCCCCAATTCTTTTTCCATGGTGCCTCCCGTTGAAATGACATTATTTGGGTCCTTGGTGCCAATGAAGTGGAGACTCTTGTAAGAGCCTCCCATTACTACTCTCCTATTGGTCCTCTCCACCTGTCTCCGATCCTCCACTATATGGGCTAGTTCCATGGTCTTCCTCAACCCCCTTGACCTCAACAATTGGAGGTCTGCTCGTATGTTGGGCTTTAGGTCCTTCATGAAATTTTCCTCCAACTCTGCCTCTGAAATCCCTCTCAAATGCCCCAACAGCAACTCAAATCTCTCCATATACTCCATGACCACCCCCTCCCGAGTCAAGGTAAAGAATTGCTCTTATAGGTCTCCTCGGATGGCTCGGAAATGCTCCAACAAGCAATTCTTAAACTCTTCCCAAGAACGAATCAGAGATCTAGTCTCCTCCACTGGAACCAAGCTAGGGCTTTTCCCTCCAGGCATAGCCCTGCGACTATAAGCCTCTCCCCCTCATTTAACTCATTCACCGTAAAATACCTCTCCGCCTAGTACACCCGCTCATGGGCATCCTCCCCTCAAATATTGGCTTCTTTAACTTCCTCACCCTAGCATCTTCACTTCAACTTCCTCTCCCTCCAACGGTTCCCCCCGTGTATTGAGGGTGAGAATCCCACCTTTCTTCCATTCTCCTTACATAACCTGACTCCCATGGCTCGGCTCGACCCGCATCTTCAGTCGCTCACTCCCTTTGTCCTAAATGTCTCCCATAATGGTTGGTCACCCCACCACCTCCTCCAAAAACTCTATCCTTGTTGCCCCCCACCCCATCCGAAAAACTTGATCTGTCCCTTATCGAAGCCCTAGGAGGCGACTCTTGATGAAAGAAACTCTCCTTATTGAACTCCTTCAGGCTGATGTCTTTTCCCTTAGATTCGACCAAGGGAATCACGGGAAAATCTTGATTAGGGTTAGCAATCGGAATCCCCAGTGAAGTTTTGGATTGCATCTCCATAAGCTTCCTCATAATCTCCTTCAACCTTCCAAATCGGCTCTCCATTCAATTCTCCATGGATGAAAACCTTCCTTTAATGGTTGAGAACTTCTCCATCCCGGATTTGATTTGCTCAATTTCTCCTTCCAATGCATCCACCTTCTTTGTCGCCATTTCTCCAAAACCTCGCTCTGGTACCCCATTTGATGCGACTTGGAAGCAAAATAACAAATTATATAAGAAGAAATTGCAAGAACAATAATGGGGGCTGATTTTTATTACTCCTCCAACAATAACAAAATATACAATTGATCTATTATTCGAGAGGTAGATCGGCTCTCCAACAAAACCTAGACGCTGCTAGGAACAACTTCAAAAAGAACTACAACAAACACAATCTCATGATGAAAGTAAAGCTATCCAGTTAACCCTAATATAATCCTTCCTACTTCCCTCTCAAATCTGAATTCAAATCTCTCTTTTCCTAAATAAAACATTTCCTAATTCAAAACATCCATCTTTTTCTAAATTGAAACCTTCCTAAATATCTCCCATTGATTCCTTCTTCTTACATAATAAATAGTAGCTCTCCTAGGTCCCATAAGGGAGTCAAACTTCCCCCTCCTAAAATAGATTATATTTGAAATTGTGTATTATATTGTCCTAAAATAGATTAAAATAATTTGTTGTTAATTTGGAAGGTTACGAATTTCAAATTCAAAAGAATTTAAAATTCAAATCCCTTCCTAATACAATATAATATATTTTAGGAAATCTCCAATCTACACAAATCTGAAATCAAAATCAGATTTCATTTAATTTCCACATTCAATGAATGTGGACGCCAATTAATTCCCCTTGCATGGCATGCCCACCCTCTCTCTCCAATTCAAATAACCCACATTAATGCTCTCCCCATTAAATCTACAATCAAATCCAATCAAGGGCTGCCGCCCCTCTCACTTCCTCAATTACTTCCTATGCCCATTTGGCCATTAATGCTCCACAAATCAATCAATCAATGCCCAATTACTTTCCTGCTTTAAGGCTGAAATTAATTTTCAGATTTCTAAATTTGTTTCCTTCCCCTATTCAAATTCAAATTTCCCTGGAATCAAAATTCTCCTCCCCTCCTCCCTATGGCCGGCCACTACCCCATCCCCTCCCACTTAAACTAATCAATCAAACACTGAATTTTTCCCTTGCTAAAGTGTTGTCCAAAATTTCAGGGCCTTTGAAACTGCTTGTCCAGAATTGTTTCAAAGCCGATATCTACTGTCCATAAGGTCCAAGCTGCTGTCCCGAAATTTCAACAAACTACTATTATTGTCCCGCTATCCGGAAAGTAACCAAATGCTGTTAAGAAGCTCCAATATTTTGCTATTAACCATTCCTTTATCTTGACGAAGGTAAACTCCTTCCAAGTCTCATATCTTCTAAGTTATCTTTAGTTGTGGCTTTGATTGACTCCTAAAGATCATATAAACTCTCTCCGCTAAGCCTAGTAATTTAGGAGTGTGTGAGGGATTCGTCATAGCGAATAATCTCTTTGTTAACGTAGGAATTTCTTGTTGAAAATCTTTCATGAATGCTATGTTTGAATAATTGATTATTTTGTGATCTTAACTTCTAGTTGTGTGACTTGGCCTAAGCTCGTTTCACCCCTCTCGTTTTCTTTCATTGTTTAAATCGCTACAAGCTAATATTTAATATTGCTCTCGTCTAAAAGCGTGCAACTTCTTATTTAACATTGCCTAAACATTTAAGTCCTGCATCACTTTGCTTCCATTTCATCTTTACAAAAGGAATCATTATGTTTCTCAATTTACGAACATCCCTTATCAATATTATTTCAGGTTCCTCTACATGTTTCAAATCATTTTAAAGTTCAATTTCATTCTGAGAAACTGTCTAAGTTTCATTTGTAACTCATTTTTTGAGTATTAATATATGAAAAATATTAGGTATGTCAAACATATCTACAGGTAGTGCTAGTTTGTAAGAAACTTGTCCCACTTTTTCAATAATCTCAAACAGCCCAATATAAAGAGGATTGAGTTTTCCGCCTTGACCAAATCTAGAAACACCCTTCATTGGTCTAACCTTTAAGAATATAAAAACTCCCACTTCAAATTTATTATGAAGCAACTTTGCAATAGTTATTGAAAGGAAAAAATGAGACTCATGGAGAGAAGCCTTCTAACCCTCAAGAGGAAGGCTCCTAGAAAGCCCATGAAGAGGAAAGAAAAAACGAAAAAGTCTTCAAAAGAGATATACTTTATTTGAAATGTAGGTGTAGCTCGAATGTCATAATGAAGATCACCTCTTCGAGAAAAATGCTGAGTGAAATGACTTGCCTCTTAAACTCAATTGTTTTAAATTGGGCTTGTTGAAATATTTGCTAGTAAAAACTCTTCATTGTGGAGATAAAAACAAGCACAACATAATGTAAGTAAATAATAAATAATATATATTTTCTTGTTGTTTGCCTCTAATCTATCAAGATCCATGCCTATTCGCCGCCCAAATTAGGATTCCATTAGATATTGCCAAATTTTGCTCCTTGAGCTAACAAAGAAATCTATCACATTCAGAAACACTCTTAAACGGCAAGTGCTACCCAATAATACATTTTATAGTATAACAAACTAGCCCTTCCAAGGCTAAGAAAATTGTTAAGTATAACATTGAAAACAAGAAGATCTATCTTATAATGAATCAAACACTTTGGCTCTTGATCTTCTTTTGCACTAGATTTATGCTTCGTTTGGGACAGTTTTCTTACTGCTTTCTAAAATTATTTTCTAATGTAAAAATTTTTAGTTCAAGAAACTTTTATACTAGTGTGAAAGCCATCTTAAATGAAGCCTTAATTTGAATAGAAGGTGGGCCACAGCTTTGTTTGTTTTAGATACAACTACTCATCTTTCTCTCTCTCATAATCCTATTGTGTTCGTTCTTACAAAGGTTGAGTTGTTGACATCACATATGGAAGGAGAGCTTCTCAATCCAAACAATGTTGTAATTTTAAGAAAGTTTGCTTCTGGATGATACTTTTATAACCATAAAGTATATTACCTTGTCAATTCAAATGCCTTGCAAGTTGCAACTATCACTTTCTGATTGCATAGGTCTGTACAAGTCTATGTCAAATACCAAATAATTTTAATAATGCATGCACAATATTCAAGAGCTTTGTGAACCAAATTGCATTTTTTATCATTTTGAATAACATTATAACTTATCTTTTTGTGGATTTCACGTCAGGTTCATGAATAACTCTATTCAGCTGTTTGTCCATCATTAACGAAGTCAAATATTATGATCCAGTACAGATTTTACTACATATTCAAGAAGAATATGATCCTATAAGCGACAATTTTCTTCGTCAAATTTTTGACATTTTCATAACCTTTTGTTTCATGGAGATTGTTGTAGCTTATTTTGTATGTAGAATGAAAAGGAATTTGAGATGTGGCACTGTTACTAATTGATTGCCTTTCGGCACTTATGAAGTATTTTAGCTTCATATGTTAATTGTTTTGAATGTCTGAGTACAATTAATTGGGTGGGGCTAACCGAAATGTAATATGGTTGAACCAAAAAGAGGCGTGTAGATAAGAATATAAGATAATTTGTGACATTTGTCCTTTTTGTTATTATCATTATTTCAGCGGTGCGAACAATTTTAATAATTTTCTTTTTGTTGTTCTGTTCAAAAATCCTTATCTAAAATGGTACTTGGTGAACAAAGTTTTTATTTAGGAGCTATTTGGTTTGAAGTCAAATAAGTGTAAAGTATTCAAATGCAGGAGTTTTGAAAATATTTGTGTTTGATTGGATGAAAAATGAATGCAAAGTAAAATAAAATAAATGTAGTGTAATTATTTTAGGAGTGGTTTGGTTGGATGTAAAGTTAGTGTAAAGTAAAATGAATGCAAGGGTTTTGAAAATTTTAGCATTTGGTTGGATGAAAAATATATCCAAGTAAATGCAGTGTATTCCATTCTAATTTATTTTTTAGGAAAATCGTTCTTGTCCAGTTTTGAACGAGAACCATTTACACCATTCCAAAGTTTGCTTGACCACTATTGATGGTCATCGTCTCCACTGCCACCTTACGGTCAATCACCACTTGCCAGCATCCACTGTCGGCAGCCGACCACCATTGCTCGTAGCCCGCAGCCCATCACCACCACCATAGCCACCCACCTCCACCGTCGGCCTCCAACACCGACCACCGTTGACTAGCCTTGACACAATTAGGGCTATCAAAATCGGGTCATGTGTCGGGTTCAGGTCCAACCCCAAATTGACCCGACACTGTTCAACCCGACTCGTTTTTGCAAACGGGTCGATTTTTCGAACCCGACCCGCTTCGGGTATATTTTATTAAAAAAACATTTATTTAATTCAATTTATTTAAATATAAATCAAATTAAGATAAGATTTACTTCAATTAATTTAAAATAAATCAAGATTAATTTAATTTGTGCAACAATGTTTATAATTTTTTGAAATATCATTTACTTATTTCATAAAAATCCTTAAAATCCCTCTTAAATTAATTAAAAACGGGTCAAACTGGGTTGATTTCGAGTTTCTGGGTCAACTCGACCTGGTTTTACAAACGGGTCGAAATCTCTAACCGAACCCGACCCAGTTCAGGTTCGAGTTGACCCAAACCAAAAATTTTCGGGTCGGGTCAAATAATAACACTCCTAGACACAATCTTTTTACACTTTATATCGCATTCATTTTACTTCAAATCAAACTAAAAAACTCATGCATTCCTTTTGCACTCCAATTAATTTAAAAAATATTCATTTTAGAATGTATTCATTTTATACTATATTTCTTTTTCAGACAACCAAACAATCTTTCAATTTATTTTTGAGGTAAACTAAACTTACGTAGTTTTGACAAAGAACCATTTACATCGCAAGGAAGCTCGCTTGACCGTTACAACCCACCATTGCCGCATCCATTGCTAGCCACCACCACTCGATAGTTTTCACTGCTAACCACCAGCCACCACCACCGATGGCCCAACCACTACCACTGACATGATCATCTTAGGAATGTTTGGCTGCAAGTAGGGTTTTTTTTTTTTTTTTTTTTTTTGTAGGTAGGTTAGGGGATTCGAGTGCGGATAAAAGGGGAGGATGTAATTTTGTCAGAAAATGAGTCGGAGTTCAATCCACACGCATGTAGTATTTAACCCAAATAAAATTTAATAAATTCTATATATTGAAATTTTCTAATGTATTTTTTAGATGGTGAAATTTTATGAAATAGTTAACATGACAAAAATTAAATAATTACAATAAATTATTTGATTATTTATTTAAAATTTAAGTCAGCTAACTCAAATAAAACCTAATAATTTTAAATTATTTATTAGAATTATTTAATAAGATTAATTTATTTGTATCTAATTTATATAATTTAAAATTATTAATTCTAATTTCAAATTATTTACCAATTTTAATTAGATTAATTAAAAATAATTATTATATATTAATATTAGAATTAACAATCAGTTAATCAATTATTAAATTTTATTTAATCTCTAATTTTTAAAGGAAGACCTAAAAAACCTATAATTATATGCTACATTAAATTTTCTTATTATCCAATAAGTTGACTCCTTTTTCCACTTGAATTACTTTTAATCTTATTAAATAAAGACAAAAAATAAAATATAATAAAAGATGATAGGATCGCAGGCGGAGTTGGCAGTCTCTGCCATTGAGAAATTATTTTTGATCTATAATTGCTCTTCGGTTTGTTCTTTGTCTATTCTCTTACTAGAGCTTTAGGTCCGTCTAGGGTTGGTTGTTCGTCGTCGGCGTCGCCATTTCTTTTATTGTTGCATCGGAAATAGTTTTGAAAAAGTCGCTAAAGGAAGCTTCTTTGCCTCCTACTTTGTTGCTGTCGGATCGGAAGTCACGACGGGAGCTCGCCGCCAAGGTAACGATCTTTCTCCCCTTTCGCGCGTTTCTTCGGCTAAATCCCGTAAATCCGCCAAACTATCGGATTTAAGACAAAAGGGAGAATAGACGGCATTGTAAGTTTTATGTAGGATTTGGAGTTGTCATTTTTGCTGTTTAGCAGTAGTTAGCTTAAAGCCTGCTCAAATCCAGCATCCAAACAGCCCCTTAAACTGGTTTATAGTTCTGCAAGATGAACGTGGAGAACAGATATGTTACGATTAAACACCCGATCGAAGGCAAGCCATTAATGTCTGACTTTGAGGTAAGGACAGAGCAGCTTACCTTGGAGATCCAGAAAGGCTCTAAGGATGTTATTGTGAAGAACATCTTTGTCTCCATCGATCCATACCAGCTCAATCGCATGAAAGCTGAGAGTGCTTCTCAGAAAGCTTCCATTTTATCAAGCTGCATCTCTCCTGGACAGGTACCTCCCTCATTTCTGCTTTTACATTGATACCATGTAGTAATTATTTGTGATATCCGCCGGTACTGAAGCCAAATAAGGAGCGGCTTCTGAACGGCTTGACAGACTTGTACGTAAAAAAAAAGGTTCAAGAATGATTCAAACCTTAGGGGCTGTTTGGCAACAAGTGGGATTTAACTTTAGTGGGATTTAATAAATCCTGTAAATCCGGATTTAGTAAATCCGAAATGTGTTAAATCCTAAAAACTGTTTGGTATGTTAAATGTTAAATCTTGTAAAATCCTGAAAACTTTTGGCAACATATATTAGAGATTATGGCGGTTAAGGGATGTTAAGTTTAAAGGAGATATTTATGAAATTAAATGCATTGCATATAAAACATAATAAAAACAATTTTAGTGTCATATTAAAATTGATCAAAAATCAATACAAAATAGTTAATTACAAACTAACATGGACCAAAACAATGAAGAGTTGAAATATTAAATAAACTAATTTATATTGAATATTTAACTTACTATTATATCATTAATTAATCAATTTAAGTTAAATTAGATAATTAATTTAGTGCACTAATCTACTATTAATTTATTTATTTAGATTAACTAATTATATTGTGTTATAATAATATAAAATAAGTTAATCGAGTAATAACGTTGAGGTGTTTAAATTTTAAAGGAAGATATTTATGAAATTAAGTCATTGCCATTAAAACATAATAAAACAAATTTTTAGGTCAGATTAAAAAAAGGGACCGAAAATTCAACTACAAGTTAATTACAAACTAACAGGATCAAAATGAGGAGTTTAAATATGAAATTAAGTTAATTATATTAATATTAATTTACTAATTATATTATTAATTAATCAATTAACGGTTAAATTAGATAATATAATTTATGCACTATCTACTGTTAATATTAATTAAATAACATTAATATTAATGTTTAAAATTATATAAATTAAGTTTAATGGATAATAACTTTGATGGCGTCTGAGGGTTTGTATTTCTTGTCGTTGTTTGTTCGGCTTCGTTTGATTCGCAGGGAGGTGTCAAGATGCGCGCGTCACGAACTTCCGGTCCTTCGTAGGCTGTTCCGACTTCGCTCTCTTCGGCTTCGTTGATTCGCAAGGAGGTGTACAGATTGCGCGTGTCGCTTACTTCGGTTCCTTCGTGGCTGTTTCGACTTCGCTCCTTAGACGACTTTCCCTTCGTGTCGGATCGGGAAATTACGACCAATTTTTGACGGAAGCAAAGAACAGAGATGCTCGCTGGCTGTGAAGGTAAGCTTTCCCCTTGTCGCGCGCTTCTAATGTTAAATCCCATTAAATCCACCGAACCGAGGGATTTAGTAAATCCGGGATTTAAGCCGTAAATCCGTAAATTCGGGATTTACGGAATCCCGGGATTTAACGCGCGCACAAAAACCGTTTGGCTGGATTTAGCGTAAATCCGACTTAAATCCCATGATAAATCCGATACAAACAGCCCCTTAGATTGAAAGTTAAGGAAAAGATTTTAGATTAAGTTAAAATTTTATGGGCATGTTTGGATGCAGTTAGGATTTAATTTAAGTAGGATTTAAATCCTTTAAATCTGAATTTATTAAATCTTGAGAGTGTTTGTTGTGGGATAAAATATGCACGGCAATAGAGTTAGAATTTTTCATCTCAGTATTGTACGAATATCCAGCACACAAACAGGATTTTTAGGGTTATCCAAATCAGGTCACTGGTTGGGTTCGGGTCCAACCCGAAATTGACTCGACACTGTTCGACCCAACTAGTTTTTGCAAATGGGTCAGTTTTTTTGACCCGAACTCAACCCGTTTTGGGTCCAGGTCAACCCAAACTCAACCCGCTTTGGGTATGTTTTATTAAAAAAAATTTCATTTAATTCGATTTATTTAAACCAAAATCAAATTAAGGTAAGATTAATTTCAAAAAATTTTAAATAAACCAAGCTTGATACAGTTTGTACAATATGATTTATTATTTTTTACAAATAAAATTTACTTATTTCATAAAAATCTTTTAAAACCCTCCAAAATTAATTAAGAATGGGCCAAACCGGGTTTATTTCGGGTTTCCGGGTAAACCCAAACCCAACCGGGTTCGGGTTCAAGTTGACTTGACTTGAACCCGAAATTTTTGTTCGGGTTTGGGCCGGGTTTTCGGTTGTGTCAAATATTGACATCTCTAAGGAAATTCAAAAACACAACTTTTTGCGTGGAAAATCCTGGAAAAGGGAAAAACCATGTGGTCACGCACAGTTGAAATGATTCCACTAGTATTTGAATAGATAACAAAGCTTGATTCGTCATTTAATTCAAAGACTGTGAAATTACAATAATAGGAAAAGTTAGGAGTAAGTCTGGTGTCGGTCAGTGCCCGAGCGGAAGTTCAACGTTGATCGGTGGCTAGGTGAATGTCTGGCATCCATCGGTAGTCAGGAAGAAGTCCAACGTTAGTTGGTGAACGGGTGGAAGTCCAGCTTTAGCCGTTGGCCAAGCGGAGGTTTTGTGATGGTCGGTGGTCGGGTGGAAGTCTGGCGTAAATTGGTGTCCAAGTGGAAGTCCAGCGTCGATCGGTGGCTGAGCGGAAGTTCGGCGTTGATCGGTGGCCAGGTGGAAGTTCGGCCTCTATCGGTGGCAGAGTAGAAGTCTGGCGTCAGTGGCTGGGCGAAAGTTCGGCGTCAGTCGGTGGCCGGGTGAAAGTCTGGCGTTAGTCGGTTAATGGTCGATGGCAGGGCGGATTTCCGGTAACGGTCGGTGGCCGAGCAGAAGTCTTGTTTCTGTCGATGGCCTGATGGAAGTCCGATAACGGTCAATGGTCGGCGGTGGTCCGACAGTGGCTTGACAGTGGTCGAGGAGGAGCTTAGTGGCAAGAGAGATCTCAGATCTTTTTTGTGAAGAATGGGGTGTCTATTTATAGTTTTTGGGAATGACATAGCTAGTAAATAAAGAGAAAATCAAAGGCATGTTGGGGTGTTTTGTATGGATGGCCAATATTGATTCCTTTGATCATACACTGTTTATTGAGCATTAGAGTGCTTTAATGATATCAATTCGACGATCTTGGGCTCGTTGGATTCGTCTCATCGAGCTACTCGATTCGACCATAAGCATGTCACATTTGAAAATCATTTAGTCATCTAATTTATACTTTGAACCTTCTAAATGTGCTTCATGCCCTTGATTTGGACCCATTTAGGCTCAGATCGGATCGAATTTGGTGTCGCTAGGTTCGTCTTTTAGAGATGCTCGGTTAGACTATAAGTTTGTTGAAACCGGAGTTCGGATGGTCCCGAAAATAATTTCAGAAGTTTCCAATTTAAATTTGCCTCAAGATTCGTGTCTAATCAAAATAGTTTTTGATTATATATCAGGGTTAAATTCTAAAAACTATTTGGTAAGAAATATGTTAAATCTTAATAAATTATATGTGATTGTTTAGCAATGCTATTTAAGATTTAAGGTGGTTAATTCATATGATATTTATATTTTTAAATATGAGTTACTTATTAATTTTAATTTTAATTAATATAATTAAATTATAATTATGAATACTGTAATTAGGATGTTATTTTAATGAGTATTTTATTACTAACTTATTTAGGTGTTATTTTAATAAGTATTTCAATATTAATTATAATGATAACTATGTAATTAATTATTTTTTAATAATTTAAGTAATTAATCATTTATTTACTATTTATACTTGTGATTAAACATTATTTTTATAAATTTTTAATTACTAGTTATACTTATAATCTATGTTACACCGATACGGATACGGCGACACGGATACAACACGATACGGATACGGGACACGTCAATTCTTAAAAATACAGGATAAGGGTACGGCGCAGACACAGCATTATAATTTATAAATCATACATAAAAATTAAGAAAGCAATCAATAGCATATATTTGAAATTAACCAAAGAAAAAGTGACACACAACATGATTTTGTAGTTGTAGTCTTATAATTCAAAATGATAAATTAAGCATTAAATGACTAGTACATACAACTATAAAGCGTGAACATAAATTATCTTAGGCACATGAAGTTAACTATTCATAGAATTTGATGATGATAATTATCGTTCTTCATTGGTTTGTCTTTGAACTTCTAAGTATCTAATTCTTAATAAATATCATACTTTATTCAATGCTTCCATATCAGTGATAAGATTAGTAATTTTTTTAACTTTTTTCAAATATTCATGCAAGAGACTCAAATCCATCTCGAAAATGAGAGAATCTTGCTCGCAACTGTGGAAGTAAATACGATACGTCTTTTTTTTCAGATTTCTTTTTGTTTTTCAACGGGCACGCGTATCAGATACGCGTGTCCTTTTGAAATTAAATAGTATTTTAATTGGATACGGCTTTGGCATATCCGACACGTATCGGTGGAGTATCGAAGGCGTATCTGTGTATCAGTGTATCGGATGCAGCACGCCTTCATAAATAGGTGTATCGGTGCAACATAGCTTATAATTATCTAATTAATCAATTAAATATTCTATTATAAACTAATTATTTAATTAATATTTACACTATTAATTTTCTAATTAATTATTTATATTTTAAAGTATATTAATTAAGTTAATTATATTATTATCTAATTAAGAAATTAAGAATTAATCTCATCCTTATAGGTAGGTTGGCTTTCCCCCTTCTCTGTTTCTTCATTGCCATTCACGTGAGGTAGAGCTTCCCTCTTTGGCTTCGCTGGTTCTCATGGGGTCGAGCTTCAAACGAGTTGCTTGCCATTGCATGTCTAGAGTTTGCTTTTCCTCTTATGTATTTATTGTTGTTGTTCTACTTTGTGTGAAGTAAAGTTCTGAAAGAGTCGAAGCAATATTTCTCCGAATTCGTGTGCTTCTTCAGTCAGACTTACAAAATCTGCAAAAAGTCGGATTTACAAAATTCGGGATGTAGGGAAAAAATGGTGAAAATGCCTTGAAATAGAGATTAGACTTGCCTTGAGATTTAATTTTGTATTTTGTGACATTTGGCAGGATTTAGCTCAAATATTGCCTAAATCTGGCCTAAATCTTGCATCCAAGTAGGTCCTATGTGTTTTTATGGTTGGACTTCTAAGGAGTTGTACAGAGAATAATTAAATCGGTATTTAGCCGGATATGGTCTAGAATAAAACAAATAAACTTGAATTGTTTGATTTTCTATCTCACAAATTTACTAGAAAGCAGAAAATTGATGCGCATGGACTGGGAAGAGTCGTGGAGTCTGGCAACGACAAGTGGAAAAAGGGTGATTTGATTACTGGGTTTCTCGGTTGGGAGGAGTACTCTCTTGTCAAGCCATGGCCGGAACCCAACAAAATAGAGGCTGTTGATCAGTTTCCATTATCTTGCTATCTTAGTGTCTTAGGTTGGTATTAATTATATAACATGATTTGTTCTCTAAAGAATGTTTGTGCCATTTTCAACTTTTTTACTCTACCTTTACTTTCTTCCTGAGCAGGTAACAGTGGGCTTACAGCATATGCAGGATTATTTCATATCTGCAAGCCAAAAAAGGGTGATAAAGTGTTTGTGTCGGCAGCGGCAGGATCTGTTGGCAACCTTGTTGGCCAGTATGCAAAGCTCGCAGGCTGCTATGTTGTTGGATGTGCAGGGAGTAAAAAAAAGGTGGGAGTTTTTGAATAAAATAATGAATAGTGCAATTCTTGTTCCATCAGTCCATGTTCTTTTTCCTGTCATGAGATTACCACCCATAGAGATATGTATCTTCATTTTTAGAGGAAAACTCTTTTTCTAAAAGATTTCAGATACCATAAAATACATATAATAGATACAGTGTTGAAATTGTATTATTAACCTGGAAAGGTATGAAAGCATTGCTCTAATTGTAGGTTGATCTGCTCAAGGAGAAGCTGGGATTTGATGATGTATTCAACTACAAAGAGGAACCCGAGCTCAAGTCTGCACTAAGAAGGTGGGTGAGAAATTGCATATAGTTCCATATTATACTGAAAAGGTATAGTTACACATATCGATTCTTCTCTTGTTGCATTCAGGTATTTTCCAGATGGAATAGACATATACTTTGATAATGTAGGTGGAGAAATGCTGGAAGTTGCAATAGCTAACATGAATGCATTTGGCCGAGTGGCCGCTTGCGGTGCTATCTCAGAGTACACAGACAAAAAGAAGCAAGCCCGAATTGACATGATGGATGTGATTTACAAGAGAATAACCATTTCCGGTTACTTGGCTTCTGATTATATTCACGCATATCCTGATTTTGTGTCCATGACCTCCGAGCATCTTAGCCATGGCAGAATGCATGCAGTTGAAGACATCTCCCATGGCATTGAGAATGTTCCTTCAGCCTTAGTAGAACTATTTGAAGGTGTAAATATTGGAAAGAAATTAGTGCAAGTGAGTGAAATCTAAAGGGTAGAAGCGAAGAACACACATGTTGAATGTGTGTTTCTTCTGCTAAGAGTCACTCGTCAATGCCCTCTTGTCCAGAGTAATAAAATGGAGTAGAACTATGAAACTCAAGCAGTCTTCAGTAAAGGACAATTTCATTTCTGCGCACAATATAAATCAGTAATTGCCATCTCATTGCATCAACTGTTATCAGCAAAAGTTCATGATATTTAGTAATCTATGTAATATAATAGGTAAACAGCAGCATTTGAAGCTGGTAGGATTCTTCACCTGTTCATACAACCCATCATGAACAAACCCATCAGTAGCAATTCGGCGCAATGGCTCCCTGTCGATCTGGCCAAGCATCGGGTCATCCATCCCTGGGAAATTTCCCAGCAAATGGAGCATTACTAGCAACAAAGCCAGGAAAGTCATCGGCTGCAAGAAAGTTGGGATGCTGCTTTGGAGGATTGTCTCAAGAAAAAAAATATTATAAATGCATAGTTGTTACGCAACCGTACAGTCCTGAATATATTTTTTAAATGCATAATGGCTACACATCTGTTCAGTCGCGAATATATACTACAACCACAACCATACATCAATGTGACATTGTGTATCCAAGTGTTTGCTGTGTTTTATAGCCTAGTTTGAGATAGACATAGAGCAAAGCGTCGTGGCACTCCAGATTCCAACACTGTGGTGCTGTCAATCAAATTAGAGACAGAAAGAGGAGCATCGCGGTGCTCCAAATTATGATCATTGTTAAAATTTTGGTTTTTTTTTAGGGAGTTTTACATACATACCACTCAATACTATTCTATTTACATATTTAACACCTAAAACTTTAATATTACATAAATACCACCCATAGTTCATTTTCATACAAAATATGAGTGGTAGAAATGAAATATATGAGTGGTAGGAAAGAAATATAAGTGATATATTTGATATTAAAATAATATAGGGTGGTATGGATGTAATATTAAAGTTTTAGATGTTAAATATATAAATAGTATGTTATAAAGGGGTATGTATGTAAATTTCCCTTTTTTTTATTATTATTACCTATCATTAATCTTAAGTTAATTGATAAGAGTCTTAGAATGTTGAATGGTGTAGGGAGTGACCAAAGTTTAGGGTTGAAAAGATTGAATGAGTTGGTAGCACGGTGGCATTGAGCTTTTGGGTAAAAATTTAGATTTTGAGCGTGAAACAGGTTGGGAAGTGTTGCCGCACCATTGGGTCTCATGTGAGTATATTTTGGGATTCTTTGAGAGCATTGCATCGCTAGAAAGTGGGTTTCATGATCAAAATAGTGAAAATGTAATATTAAAATATCTTAAAGCAAGAGGGAGGGAGATTTGGAGGCCAAAGTCTAGGATTTGTCCGTCGGGCTAGTTTAAGAAATTGTAGAGCTTAGTATAAACTCTTAAACCCCATGTGTCTTATTTCAATTCTAGTAAATTTATTTATTAAAAGTTAAGAACAAAAATGTTCTTTTCTTGGGTCTTACGATGTTTTCAACATGTGATTTTTTGTATGTTATTGTACTCTTTATTATAAATATTTTGGGTATATATAATTTAGTTTTCAATGCTTAATTTTTCCATACTAATTTCTAACTATTTTATTGAATGGAAGCTTTCCTGGCAATAATAGTAATTATATAAAAATCTTGAAATATTTAGGTGAATATTTCTTTGAAAAATGACATTGAAAGGAAAAGTTCGGTGAGTATTATGTTCTACTAGAATTATAGCTTTATTGGCAATTTATGCATTTTATGTATATTATATTGAATATTTAACATTAAGTACTTCCGCATTTCATGATAATGGAGAAGTTATATCTTGGTATGTGAAAAAGTGCAATTTTTGTGATATTTCAAGAGCCCTAAATATATTTTTCTCCCCATCTTCTTGATGCAGATGTGGGAAAAATTATGGCCACACTTGTTGAAAGTAAGTGTGAGAGGCTAAACAACATTGTAAGTGCTAAGGTAGATGTGGGAGGGATTTTGACCCCACTTGCTTTAGGCGTGTATGGGAGGTAAAGGAAGGCATAAGTTGAAATAAAGATATAAGAAGACATTGAACATGTGCATGATATGTAGTGCAATTCATATGTTAATAGTTTACTATATTAAGTTTAAGAAATGTTCTAAAATATGCTCAATAAACTTTGACTTTATGTATGAATTATATTAGAAAAGTAAAAGTAAAAATGTAATGTAAGTGAATCTCTAAACTAATTATTATGTACGACTTTCGACAACTTTTGTAAAAGTGGTTAGGTGGTTATGAAAGTGTAAGTGTCAGCTCTGAGATTATGTATATACTAGGACTTTGCTAATACTTCGACTAATTTACAAGTCTTTATATTTTTCTTTAATTAACTGATTTTAATAATTGCATTGAATATTATTAGCTATGAGGGGTAGTAGGAGGGGAGTCTACTGGGCTACTTAAGCTTACTTTATTCTTTTAATAAAGGTATAGTTCCTATCGAGTATGTCAGGTATAGAGGCAAGGTTCTAGATCTGGATTCCTAAGGTATGATTTTGTAATTTATCTTTTAATTTTTTTAATGTATATACTTATATAATTTGGATTATTGTAATTGTATTTTGAAGAATTAAAGTTTATTTTACTACTTTTATATTTTAAAATTTTAGTATCTCTTGTTGTAATTATTGTGATGAGTTATTTAATTGTAGGATTAAGTAAATTCAATCCTTCTATTTTATCCTAGGGCGTTGAAAGTGGTGTTAGAGCAACTATTTGGAAGGACTGGAGAATTTTAACTAAAGCTACAAGAAATAAATTGTATCGGTATGGGGTGGAGTTTGGATTCTAATATACATTGTTGTCTATTAGTTGTGTTGTATAATTAAATTTCCCTATTTTATCTAGATTAAAGTGATGTTGTATTATGAACCCCCATGACTAAGAAGAAGCTAAAAGATAGAGTTTCAGTCAGGCTGTAATAGTTCAGAGTACCATGGGGGCAATGACTTATGATTTGATAATACAGTTTGTTGGGTTGGTGGCCCAACTGATGAGTGAGGCTCGGGGTAAGTTGGCTAAAGTAAAGGAGGATGAGATTGATAAGCATCAACAATTATTTTTCATATTGAAGCTACCCCATTTGCAGGGTACTACTGAGCCTCAGACAGCTAAGGACCGATTAATGAGAGTAGAAAAATCCTTCGATAGTATGTAGTGCCCTGAGGGCAAGAAGGTTCTATTAACGGTGTTTTTATGAAATGTTGAGGCAAAGTGTTTGTGGATAGGCCAGCAGGGAGAGAGAGGTTTCAAGGGAGATCGAATGTAGATATCAGTTGGGAGGAGTTCACAAAGACCTTTAGGAGCTAGTTTGTGCCACCTTATGCTAGGTAGCAGGTGCAAGAGTCCTTTTTGAGGTTCATGCAAGAGAACAAGATGATGATGCAGTATGAGACATCAATCATAGCTCTTGTCAGGCATGCTTCCCAATTAATGAGCACCCTAAAAGGGAAGTGTTATCAATTTCTGCGAGGTTTGAGAGATATCTTGAGGCATCCCTTAGTTCCATTTCATATTAGTGATTTTTTTAAGCTTGTAGAGTGAGCTAGATTGGTGAAAAATTATCTGATGTCCACCCAACATATGTGGGATGCTAACAGGAAGAAATTTGGTGGAGAGTCCTCGAGAAGTACATTCAATGGGAAAAACCCAGAACGGGGCCTGGTGATTCTAGGAGGGAGAACTGGCAACATCTGGGAGTGTTAGGGAATTTGAATTTATCTGAAGTGCAACAGCCTATGGTTTCTCTAGAAGGAGGCATGCATGTTGATATTATCTATATGCGGGTTAATGCTTCAAGTGTGGCCATGCATGTTATAAGGAGGCGCAGTGTCCATAGAGAGGGCAAACATGAAGCTGGAGATAGTTAAAGTCAGAGGTAACAACCAACCCTTTCTAGAGAAGTCAGTGAGGCTTCATTAACCCGTAGTGGAGGTAGATTTGGAGAGAGATCATTAGGTGGATCATTGGAGGAGCATAATGGGAGTATATCCCAGTAGTTAGTGCATCCCTGATTCAACACAGAATATATAGTCTGACGTAATAAGAGGCGAGAGATGCACGGAATATATTGACATATATGGTCTATATTTCTGAACAATCTTTTAACATTTATTTTTGGTGCTAATCATTCATTTATATCTAAACGGTTTCTATTTGCAATGAGTTTAGCATCTATTTAATTATGTCTTGTGTTATTTGTTATGTTGCCAATAGATGACAACAGTTGTTTGTATGTGTGAGGTTAATATTTTGGGTAGAAAGTTAGCGTCAGCATTGATCATATTTCCTCTAAAGGAGTTTGTTGTGGTAGTAGGCATGGATTGGTTAAGTAGGTATCAGGCTCTAATCTATTTTCATAAGAAGCAAGTTAGTCTATTTGTATATAGGGGTATATTTCATTTTTTAGGCATTAGTTGTTCCTTATCATTTTTAATTTTTGCATTGTAAATGAAGAAGCCTAAAGGCAATGGGATTATGTATTTTTGGCTTATGCAAGAGATTTGAATAAATCAATAAAGGGTCTAGATGATGTTCTCGTAGTGAAAGAATTCCCTGATGTTTGTCCTGAAGAATTGTCTAGGTTACCTAAGGAGAGAGGTGGAATTTTGTATTGAGGTGCTGCCGAGTACAATTACAATAGAGAAGACTTCATGCATGATGGCACCGAGAGAATTATAGAAGTTGAAAGTTTATCTATAAAAGCTTGTAGATAGGGTTTTATCGGGCCTATTGGGATTTCCTTAGGGAGCTCCTATATTATTTTTGAAGAAGGATGGGTCTCTGTGAATGTGTATAGATTATCGGGAGATGAATAAAATACTAATGAAAAAATAAGTATCCATTTATGTGGATAGATTATTTATTTGATCAATTGGAAGGAGCAACAATATTGTCTAAGATCGATCTGAGATCAAGCTATCACCAACTGATCATGAAGGTAGAAGATGTAGCAAAGACTGGTTTTAGTATCATGTATGAGCAATATGTTTTTTAATTAATGTCATTTGGTGTGACTAATGCTCTGTCGGTATTCATGGATCATATGCATCAAGTATTTAGGGATTATTTAGACTAGTTCATTATTGTGTTCGTTAATGATATTCTTGTGTATTCAAAATATGAGGAGGAACATACAGGTCATTTGAGATTAACTTTAGAGACTCTGAGGTGGCAGATTTTGTTTGCTAAATTCTTAAAGTATGAGTTTTAGTTGACTTTTATAATATTTTGGGGGCATATGGTGAGCAAGGAGGGGATTATTGTGGATTCCCAGAAGGTGCAAGCCCTAGTGCACTAACTGAGGTTGTCATCTATGACAGAATATTATAAAAAGTTTTTCAAAGGCTTTTCATGTATTATTTTCCCTCTTGTAAGGTTGACTCGAAAGGCCTTGCTATTTGATTAGACACCAGAGTGTGAGGAGAGTTTTCAAAAGTTGGAGTGTTTGGTTTTAACACTATTTTAACTATTTCATCAAGTATATAATGATGCTTCTTTGAAATTTTTGTACTCTGTGTTGTTGCAAAACAAAAAGATAGTAGCTTAATTTGAAAGTTTGCGTTCCTTAGAGTTGTTGAAGCGCATCTCCATGTCTATTCTATGTAAAATAGTACAAGAGGACACAGAGAGAGGGAGAAAGAAATTTATTTGTATACTTTTTCTCAATTTTCATACTGAATTTCTTGGTGTAGTATTGCTTTGTAATTTTTTTCATATTTCGAATATTTGACATTAAATCATTATGTTCTTTTTTTTTCTACTGTATTTTTTGTTTTTTATTTATATTTGTTGGGTGGTTTACTTCCCCAACACTGTACTCCCCTGCCTAAACAAGAAGCCCATTTTAGTCATATTCGACGATACATGTTTCTTCCAAGTTTAAGAAAGACAAAAATTTTAGCAAACACAAATGTCATCCTCCTAAACCAAGAAATTTACTGTACTTCAGTTGCAGATTATTACAGAACAGGTAAATGTTATCACAAACATGAAGCAGCTCCAATCTAGACTGCAATTATGCTCGAGGATCCATTTGGGGCAGCATTTCAATAAACTGCGTCGTATTTCTATCCGATCATAACATCTTTTATTTTTAATTTATTTAATAATTTTTATGATGAAAAAAAATCTTTTTTACAATCAGATCATCATCTTATTCTTGATCATGAGCTCTCCATCAAGTGCATGGTTAAATTTTCTTTATTCATATTAACTTATATGAGATAACAAACACATCATTATAACACATCCTCTCTTGAGCCGGTCACATGAAGCTCTAGAAATCTATGTATGATCGATGTCTCCTTCACACCTGATCATCAAATTCTGCCGAAAGATGACAGAGATATCAGCAGAGAGCTATGAGCTAAATGAAAAGAACAATTGGAAGCGAAAATATATAATACAAATATAAATATTTACTTACATGGTGAACTCAATGTTTATGTTTGAGCTTGTTTTATGGGAAATTTCCATGAAAGCAGTTATTGAGAGAAGAATATTGGAAGGACAAGGATGAGTGGAGCACTCATCCACAACCACCACATCAACTACACCATCCTTGCATGGCCTTCCATGTTCACTAAGACATCTTATTCTGTACATTCTACCACAAGCAGCACCATTATCCCACAGGCTTCTGGACACTGCAGCAAACATGTTGTTTGCTGGGAACTGGTATTTACTGTCTCCATAGCATTTTGTTGCTGCTCAATTAAAGTGCAAATTAAAGAATTTTCTGAGATGAAAAATAAGATGATAAAGAATGAATTGCTTACGAATATATGGAGGATCATAGGAAGATGCAGTGCCAACATCGCCGAGCGTCGGAACTGCTTCCTGCCATAACAACAGCATTGAAGTTATGAGGAAGAATCTCCTCATGGTTTAAGGGAGGATCAAAGTACTTAATTAGGTTAGTTGGATGCTAATTACAAGGGATCGGATCGAGTTGTTTCATTATATAATAACAAGCTGTAAATATACCCTTCTACATTCTTGTTGATAACCACAAGAAAAAGATAAAGGTTCCTTTTCCTTAGTTTAGCAACTAATAACAGTTAATTAGTGGGTAAGTTTGTTATGATTAAATAACTTTGGAGGATAAACTTAAGAATGACTCGTATTCACATGGCTAAATGTTTGCGTGCAAGCAACTAAATGCATTCACACGGCTTGTTTTGTGTTTGGTTTAGATGTATTGGGTGAATTAATCAAGGATTGATTGGTTCCTCTTTAAAGGAATGAAATCAAATAAAAAATTACGATTTAAATCAGAATATTCTAAGTTATGATTAAGAGTGCTCTTTATTTACATCACGTGATCCTCGTTGATACTAAATTAGATATTGAAATCTTACTATGAGTCATACTCCATCGCCATGACATAATTAACCCACTTGAAAGGTTCAATGTAAAATGAAAGATATCATTCAGAGCACGCTCTTCTCTCTACAGACTACAGCTTAATAATAAAGGATTACACGTTTAGGATTAATTATCTAATTCTTCCTGTAAATGAAATGATAAACTTTGAAGATGATCAAATAACGTTACAATATAGAATAAGTCGAATAGCTATGATAGTGATCATCAATGGTAATTGTCAGGCAAGACTATATAATTCTTAAAGTCTCTCCACTCAAAAGAACATTTCTCATGCATAAAATGAGATCTTGTTTATAACTTTTTAGAGGGGATTTTGATAAATTCGGCTAGACGGAAAAAAAACAATCATTCCCTTAATAATAGATCATTTATTCAACATTTGAGTACTTTAGTGACAGCAAATTTTTAAGATATTAAACTTGTTAAATTCTCCGAGAAAAAATAATTTTATTATTATAAGAATTAATACATGACTTAAAAGGTCATTTGATTCTTCAATTAATATCTTAAAATTTTTTATAAGGACGTTTGATTTGCCTATAAATTCGTTAAAATTGAAGTCGGGAAGTTCCTTTATTTAATTATATAAAATTTCAATTCAACTATTTCTTCAAAAGTCATTGCTAATGAAGTAAAATTTATGGAGGCATATCAACTATAAAAATAAATTTTCATTAAGATTTATTAGTTAAGTCATTTTATTTATACATCTTAATTGTTAAGTCATAATATGAGGCTTCCGTTGAAAAAAAAAAATCATCTCTGATACATCATCACAAAATTAGCTTGATCAGGCACGAATCTCGAGGCAAAAACTAGTTGGAGACTTCAAAAATTAAATCCGGGAGCATCCGAACTCCGATTTCAACGATCTTACAGTCAAACTGAGCGTCTCGGAAATACGAACCCAAAAACACCAAGATCGACCCAATCCGAGCCCAAATAAGTCCGAATCAAGAGTTCAAAGCGCTGTTGGAAGGTTCAAACCGCAATTTGAGTTACCAAACGGTCTCCGATTTTGACGAGCTTATACTCGAATCGAACGGCTCGACGAGACAAATCCAACGAGCCCAAGATCACTAAATTCCGACAACATTAAGGCCTCCAAAAGTCCAACGAACGGTGCATAATCAAAGGATTCGATATCGGCCGTCC